GGGGGGTTGTGTGCGATGGGGCTCAGGTCGATCATTCCGGCGACTGGATCCGTTGAAATCTGAGCCGATTCCGGTACAGCTCTTCTCGATTCCGGCACAGTTTTCGCCGATTCCAGCAAGTACCGGTAGGTTCCTTGCCGCCGGATTCCGGCCGGAATTGCACAGGAAATATCCGATCAGTTCCTGGCCGTTTCCAGCTCGTAGTTTGCAGGAAACGGTCGGGAAATGACTGGAACCTACGTTTGAACTTCCGGCCGGAATCCGGCGGCAAGGAAATGGCCGGAAAACAAACTTAACCGGCCGGAACCGACCGTGCCATAATAACCTGGGGGGCTATCGCCTCCCCCCCCCCCCCCCCCCAAATCCGCCACCGTTTGTCTTGTATGTACAATTGCATATTGGTTAAATCTTAAAAAGCAATGAGAAAGTGGAGTATATATATAGGTGTATGCATTTTCCTTGATTTCTAGTGACATCTATTTCTTCGTTCGTATATTTTGACACTCTTTCTTTCTCTTGATTGACAATCAAATAACAATAGATATATAACATAAGTAAGGGGTAAAACAGACCAAAGCGATAAAACAGAGTTAACCAATAGAAACGCTAGAGTCGTTCAATTCTAGCGTTTCTATTGATTAACTCTGTTTTATCGCTTTGGTCTGTTTGACACTCAAGATTTATCCTTTCTACGGCTCCATTTTATTTGGAAAATCTGTTTCTAAATGTTTAGTTGAGAAAGAAACTATCGATGTATAATTTATGAATGATGAAAATAAATATTGCATATATTGTATGTTTTATGCTTGGTTTTCCAGAGAAAATTTCAAATAATGAAACAAATCGATTATTGTTTATATAATTAGTCAACTTTAGAAAGAGAAAAACTACCTATATTGTGATTGAATCAACAGCATTTTATTTAACGAACAATATACTAAAGTTTTCTTCATCTCCTCTATTTACACGTTAGAATATGGTCAAATTGAATACTTACTGATCGACTGGATAAGAAGGATAGTGTAATAAGAACGAGCATTTTCATAGTGATTGTATATAGTGTATATCAAACATACAATATATAATCTTCTTCTCCAACGAATCTATATACAAGACATTCGTGAGTCCAGATAGTTGAAAGAGTGAATATTAATAGAATACGATCGATACGCGCCCAAAATGAGCACAATGTCTAACATGACACATAGAAAGAACAGGAAGAATGAAAAAATAAATCGGAAAAGCTTCTCGTCATTAACCTCTTGGGTACCGTTGTTTTTAGGGTGAAAACAAGATAGAAACACAAGATTTCTTTTCCTTTCTGTCAGATTGTTCACCAATTACATTCGCTAGAGAGAGAGTGACTAGTCATCTTTTTCTTCGTATTCATCAGAACGAATGAATTTTCCCGATATTTCAGAGATTAATGTTCTCTCTTTTTTGGGATAGGATGTAATCATCCTCTCTCTCAGCATTCGTTATCATTATTATCCACATTACATAAACTCTCAATATGGCACATGACACGATGAGAAAGAAAATTAACGATGGTTTGGATGCTTCCAATTCGAAATATAAAATGAAAGTTTTTAATTCTTAGTCGCATGTGCTACTTATTGACATTTTAACTATTGTTTCCAATTCAATTTTATTTTCATTATCTTCCTCATATAATGACTGTGTACCGATATTTCTTTCACGACTGGAGTTAAAACCATTTTGCAAAAAACCAAATAGTTATAATCTAAGTCACAGTTTTGACTTTTAATTGATCGAATTTCCAGCAATCAAAACATTCTTCATCGAAAATTTGATAGTTATAAGTGCTCGAGTTTTGACTACAAGTAACGCTCATCCTCTGGATTCACTTACCCTTTTCTGAAAGGATGAAAGAGTGCTCAGTATAAAGCTCACAAGCGGGATCTGGATCTGGACGGATCGACACCCAAGCGAACTTTATACATAAATGCTTTTTAAGTGTTTTTCATCTTTTCACCATTTCAAAGTATCATTAATTCATTCATTGAAAAAGACAACCAAAAACAAGTACTATTTGTAAACATTCACGGAATTTATCGCTTGATAATCTTCAAAAATGCATTACTCGTATTTATTTTCCTTTGTATAAAGCTCTTAAGCAAACGTCTAATCGCTCATCGGCCTCCTCGCGGTCGACCATTCGCGACTAGTCGCTAATGCGCATTGTCTTTTTTTTGTTTTCCTCACAATCATGAGTCTAATGTGAAAGATTCGGTCATCATGGAAGATCACTTCATAACTGAAGATATAGGAAATTCGCATGAACGTGCCATTTTCAGGAAATAGAAATTTGTCGAATTCGCTCTTGTAGATCATCAATTAAGCGCCTCCGAAGAAACATTCAAAGCACGTGAAAGTTATAAAAACAGATCGATATTCTCATGTCTCACTCTCCAAATGAACGTCTAGTCGGTCGGCCACTCACGGTTAGCCGTTCCCATGAACGCCTCTACTGTTTCGTCTACTTCTGATGCATTTTTGGAAGAAATAAACCCATTCCCTATGGTCTCCTCTTCAAAAAGTACCGACTTTGTATTACTGTGACTCTCGCAAAGAAAATAGAAAGACGAAATATTATTTTCTGAGTCGCTAGAATTATAGAATATCTTGAGAGTGAGGGTGGTGATGAAAAACTTGATGATTGGAATCATATAGAGGTCGTCGAAATGTGTCCGGGCTGAAGTTTGAAGCCGCGCTTAATAGTAAAGAAGAGAATTGGACCGAGTTTGCCAAAATTCTCAGGATTTGTCACTGCTATTTTTGAAGTAGGCGGGTAGAGGCTTTTCAATATGTTATCATTGGAATCAGTACGGCACTTTGAGTTCTACTTCGAACCAGTGGGATCAGAGTTGAAACGCATGTATGAACGAATAAAATCCTGAAAATACTTGAATAGGACACCAAGATATGTCATGTCGTCTCTTCTTTGATGAGCGCTATGGATGGATCTTTCCAGCGTCTCTTTAACAGCAACTGTTTTCACAAAAGATTGTTGCAAGACTCACCCAACAAATTCTCTACTCATTGACCTCTGCACATGTGTCTCTCGAGTACACAAATGGTTGTAGCAGGTTTCCTTATAGTTGTAATATTGGCGATCGGATGATGTGTTTATTTCGCAATCTAATCTGTCAACAGTGGACTCATCAAACGCATGACCTAAGTGAGATGTCCATATGTGATTGCAATGACTGAACATGCACGCCGGTTTACGAATTGTACTTATGCGAAAGACGTGTATAGCAAAGAATTTATTAGGGTTTGTTTCAAGTTAATTTTAATAATCTACTGTCTGATTTGGAATATAAGAATACGATAGAATAGCCTATCAAAAAGAAAGAATACGATACCGAAAATGCACGTAGAGAACAATCGATGATACTCGACTCGATCTTCTCATTTCTCGTAATTTACTACGGCAAAAGATCCAATTACCAATAGTCAAACGTCGTTGAGAAGATCAACTAAGATAACATAGTAAGAGAACACTGCTCTTCTTTCGTCTATCATATGAATTACAATTCCTTGTTTTGATCGCAGACGATGATTTTGTTGCTGCCACTGACTTATTCGTCGTATGTCTGATTGCTCAAAAACAAGTAGATTGCTGTCGTTATTTCCAATTTAGCAATGAAATCAATTCTTAAGGCATGCGCCTCGTTTAAACTATAAATATAACGATAGTTATAATCCATGCAACTTCAAAGAACAAAAAATGGTTTTAGAAATATTGCGATACTAACTATGCACTTGTTATTCTTCTTGGACTCATTCATTTTTATACATGAAATTATTAGTATCTCATTCTTCGGATTTTTTCGTGTATTGTTACATCATTAGATGAAATATATTCATATTTCTTTTCAATCGTAATAATAACTACAGTTTGTACTTGATAAAAATCGAATTCCATTCATCCGCCTACCAATGTGCCGAACGAAAGTTTCAGAATCTAGAGATAGCAAACTAATATCTAATTATTGATGAATTCTACGAACAATCGCAGTTAATACAGACCCTTCACAAGAAATTTTGAATAAAACAACGCATGAAACAGCTATCGAAACCTGTTGTTATTCTCTCACGTACCGAACACGAACTGATAACATATAATTTATCATTATGGATTCTACTCGAAAACAATGAAAGAAGAACCACTACGCATTTCTCTTCATTTGGTTTTCATTTTCAAATATATAAATAGACTAATGCTGAATTATCACCGTTTTTCATCGAATCACATCTGTGAGAGATTAATTATCAGCAATGCACTGGCAAATATGCACAGTTTTAACACGAGCAGTCATACCAGAAAGCATAACTATCAGTTATGCGCTCGCTTTTCTCTTTCGCACATTGATTATTCAACTTTGATTAACCGCTTCGAAATAGATTAAACACATAAATACGATTTCGATATCGATCGTGACTACTCGTCTTTTTCGTATTTCAGAAGACAAATGATGATTTCTCTCTCTTTCTGCGTCGAATTTGCTAGAATGTTAGTTGTACAAGCCTCGTGTAATGAATCATAATGTAAAGTAAAGTGCATTCTGTGCTATGTTGTCGAAATAGCTGCACATCAAACATCAAACAGATTCGTACTTGCCGGCGATAAGACTTGACTATATGAGGCAATGCTCGTGTAGGAGACTCGTTTGATTTCAACATTTCCTTCTTTTTTCGTTCCAGAGAAAAAGATAACAAATATTTTTGCCGACTTCATCTGTTTATATTACTTCATTACGTTTATTCTAGTACACATATATATTCCATCGAATTCAACTGTTAATCTTCGAATTCGTATCTCAGATTTCGTAATGAATATATACTTCATTCGATCGAAACCCGGCTGGCCATATTCATCGTATAATATTAGTTGTTTATCATTAATGATAACAACAGGCACGAAATAATGTTTGCCGATCATTTATTCACGAACTTTCAATCTTGGAAAATCTTCTTTCTTCTTCTTATATTTCCTCTATCACATTCGGCTTCGATCATGACATTATCATCAACAAATTTTCATCAATTCGAATTATTATCCAATCGATCTTATCGAAACTTCTATCTCAGACAACACTTTATTGATGTATTAAACATATCTCATTCATCATTAATACAATCGATGGTTGAAAAGCATCAATTACTAACGAATTTAGAAGAAAGTGCGTATTGAAATTTGCTCATCTATCATTCCAAACAACTTAGTTTTTTTTTGTTGTTGGATCTTTCAGTTCGAACTCGTCGGCGTCGACGAGCAATTACTTCGTCATCTCTGTTAACAGTCCCAGTTCGAACAGTACAGCCAACGGGTTGTTTATCTATAAATTCGAATCAGATTCAATCCACATTTTCATGGTCTGATGTGATCGACGGTTTCTCGTCGATCGAACTCGTTTATCACGTCAATACGAACCAAATATCTAAGTCATCCATACCGTTGCGAATCGTCGTGAAACAATCGGACGATTTGCGCGAAGTGTTCGCGCTGGATACTAATTTAGAATATGATTCCATGCGCGAATTTTATTTTCTTAATATTTATGATTATCTTCGACAAATCAAACGATCCAATCTAATTATCGAAAGCATTCTTTCTGATCAAACTTGTTCTACATCACATTCGTATTTAATTCTATCATCATTTCGTTCGAATCATCTATCTTTTCAAGAAGAAACGAAATGTAAATTAAAATCTATTCAAATTCAATTTGAAGAACTTGGTTTAGCTTATTTAATTATTCGACCAAAAGAATACACATTTACATATTGTGACGGTTCATGCTCAGACTTAACTCTTCAACAAGGATCACTCCATACATTTTTACAAGCCATGATTAATAAAAAGAACAGTCATGTACGTCATCCAACTTGTGTTCCTTCACAATATGCTGATGATAATTTTCTTCTTCGACAAACTGATGGTGATTTACAAATCTATCCTGTTAAAGATATTATTGTGAGACAATGTGCTTGTCTGTGATGTAATGTTTGTTTTTGCCTGAGAAAATGAAAATAGAAAAATGCCAATCGATCGTCTCGGGTATTAAGAAACGTACGTACGGTTCGAAATCAAGAACGTTATTGAATACAAGTTTCATGTACTTCAGCAGACAAAATATCTTCAATTTTATTCAAACATATCTTAAACTAAATATTTTATAAATATGTATACTAATGCCACGAAGTATCTATACTCGTCTCTGGCTTGGCGCAAGAAGGAATGAATATCAAAGACACATGTGTAGCTTCTGTTTTTCTTATAAAAATAGACGCAATTCTAATTTTTATTAATACTGAGTTATTCGATACATACAGTTTGCTTAGTTCTTGAATCAGATGTCTAGTTTGATCGTAATATCAGATTTTGTCCTTGTTAAACTTCACTTGAACCTTGGACATAGTCCCAGTCAACATTCCGATCGTCGCGTTTAAAAAAGAGTTTGAATTTATCAATACTGTCTGTGTCGCGTTCCATTTGCCATAGTAGTTGACATGTNCATTAATTTTCCAACTGGTCTTGATAAAATAAAGCCTTGAATATTAAACATATGTATTATTTTAATATCTGATAATGAATGTTCATTTATGTAATTGTTCATTTTTTCAGCTATTTCATATTCTTTTGTTGATGTTTTATTTGAAATTTTCATGGCATATTGAATATTTTCATGTTCAATTTGATAAACTATACCATTTGCACCTCTTCCTAGAAAAAAGAAAAGTTTTAAAGACGGTATGAATGTTCAACTGCCGAATACAAATTAATTCTATTCTTCCGCCAATTACGGATTTCTATGAAATTAAAATAAATCTAACAATTCATCTTCATGACACATTGATCAAGTTTTATAATGATTCATTTCAACATCAAAATGTTCTCGCAAAAGCATTGAATTTTCTCTAAAGGTACAGCCTATTACAAAAAATAAACAATTGCTTACCCAATGATAATTTAACATAAAAATTATTTGGAATAGAAAATTTGACATGACCCAAATGAGATGGATTACAATGAAGAAATTTCCAATATTCTTTAATAATATTTTTTGATTTAAATACTTCGTAAATAAATTTATCGTTTACTATTGATGTTTTACCAAAAACAATCTCTTTATAATTAGTTAAACATCCAACTGCATAATTTCGTTCAGGAGATATTTGAATAATCATTCTTAGATATTCTAACATTTGTGATATTTCATTTCTTGTTAAAACATTCTTTTTCTTTTCGATTATTGTGATAATAGCCCATGGATGGAATTGTTCATTCATTGACCATGTAAAATCTGGTTGTTTATCACAAAATACTAATCCAAATTCACCACCCTTTTGATTTCCGGTAAATATTACTTGTGAATTAAACTTTTTTAAATGATTATCAAATTCTAAACTTCCTTCATTTTCTGATCTGGATTTTGACACTGTGAGAAATGTATTAATTGTATTTTGAAAATCTTCCGTTGGTTCATGGAGAATCATGTTTGAAATGCCAAGAAACTCTTCTAATGTGGTACAATCAATCTTTGTTGAATAAATGTGTAGAATAAAAGATTCATCTGATTTTTGTGATCGAACCGATTCCGATAATTGTGACTCATATTCATATTGATCTATGTATGAAAAGAAAATCATAAAGGTATGGTTTCATTGTTCTATTCAAGGTTTTGCATGAAAATATTTCCTAAATAAACAAGTTTCTATTGTTTTATACAATACAAAGATATGATATGTTTTAAGTTTGGCTTTCGATTGAGAGGAATCGAATTATTCGAAAGAATGTTAATCAATCGGTAGCTTCATTGGAAACTTAACAAAATAAACTTACCAATCATTTTCGAATCGAATTCTAGTTGAATATCTAAGTAGAATAAGTAATGAGAACAATTGCAAATCTAAAAAACAATAAAATGTTTGATTATAAAAAATGAAGTAAAGAAGAAGAGATTCATTTTCTCCGCGTGCTGTGTTTGAAAATATATTGCTAAAAACATCTCTTTCCGGCAAGCAAATATCAATCCGTATATTCAAAATACAGTTAAAAAAACTGTAGAAAGGCGATATAATAGAAAAACAAATAGATAATTAATGGTGTGTGGAAGTATTTTAAGTACCTGACTGTAACAGATCCAACATGAGGTGCGTTTAAGATAAAGTTATACACAAACAAACAACTAAACAGAACATATATGTTAAGAAAAATTTGATTTAATATTCCATCAATACAGTCATCATTTATCAAATTAACCGAATTCTAAAAAACGAAAATAGTTCATGGATTAAAACACTACAGAGAAAAAAGAATTAATTTTCTTCAATTATCGTGAAGTAGTGAGATTTATCAACTAATTGTGTTTTATTATCGGCATTGTTTTTTACAATATTTATTTATTTTATCTTATAGATCTATGAAAATCATCTTCCCAGATAATACCTTTTAATAGAAGAGTACAACTGTGCCTGGTCGATACCAACGTTGCTTCTCAACATGAAAAAGACCTACGCATATACTATTTGTTTTGTATGTGCCGTTGCATATTGATTAAATCTTAAAAAGAAATGAGAAAGTGGAGTATATATATATATAGGTGTATACATTTTCCTTGATTTTTAGTGGCATATATTTTTTCATTCGTATATTTTGACACTCAAGATTTATTCTTTCTATGGCTCTATTTTACCCGGAAAATCTGTTTCTAAACTTTTAGTTGAGAAAGAAACTATTGATATATAATTTATGAATGATGAACATAAATATTGCGTACGTTGTATGTTTTATGCTTGGTTTTCCAGCGCAAATTTCAAATAATAAAACAAATCGATTATTGTTTATATGATTATTCAACTTTAAAAAGAGAAAAACTACCTATATTGTGATTGAATCAACAGCATTTTATTTGACAAACAATATACTAAAGTTTTCATCATCTCCTCTATTTACACGTTAGAATATGGTCAAACTGAATACCTACTGATCGACTGGTTAAGCAGGATAGTGTAATAAGAACGAGTATTTTCATAGTGATTGTATATAGTGTATATCAAACATACCATATATATAATCTTCTTCTCCAACGAATCTATATACAAGACATTCGTGAGTCTAGATAGTTGAAAGAATGAATTTTAATAGAATACGATCGATACGCGCCCAAAATGAGTACAATGTCTAACATGACACATAGAAGGAACAGGAAGAATGAAAAAATAAATCGGAAAAGCTTCTCGTCATTAACCTCTTGGGTACCGTTGTTTTGGGGGCGAAAACAAGATAGACACACAAGATTTTTTTTCCTTTCTGTCAAATTGTTCACCAATTACATTCGCTAAAGAGAGAGAGAGTGACTAGCCATCTTTTTTCTTCGTATTCGTCAGAACGAATATATTTTCCCGATATTTCAGAGATTAATGTTTTCTCTTTTTTGGGACAGGATGTGATCATCCTCTCTCTCGGCATTCGTTATCATTATTATCAATATGACACGATGGGAAAGAAAATTAACGATGGTTTGGATGCTTCTAATTCGAAATACAAAATGAAAGTTTTTATTTCTTAGTCGCATGTGCTACTTATTGACATTTTAACTGTTGTTTCCAATTCAATTTTATTTTCATTATCTTCCTCAAATAATGAATGTGTACCGATATTTCTTTCACGACTGGAGTTAAAACTATTTTGCAAAAAACCAAATAGTTATAATCCAAGTCACAGTTTTGACTTTTAATTGATCGAATTTCCAGCGATCAAAACATTCTTTATCGAAAGTTTGATAGTTGTAAATGCTCGAGTTTTAACTACAAGTAAAGTTCATCCTCTGGATTCACTTACCCTTTTCTGAAAGGATGAAAGAGTGCTCAGTATAAAGCTCACAAGCGGGATCTGGATCTGGACGGATCGACAGCCAAGCAAACTTTATACATAAATGCTTTTTAAGTGTTTTTCACCATTTCAAAGTATCATTAATTCATTCATTGAAAAAGACAACCAAAAACAAGCACTATTTGTAAACATTCACGGAATTTATCGCTTGATAATCTTCAGAAATGCATCACTCGTATTTATTTTCCTTTGTATAAAGCTCTTAAACAAACGTCTAATCGCTCATCGCGGTCGACCATTCGCGACTAGTCGCTAATGCGCATTGTCTTTTTTTTTTGTTTTCCTCACAATCATATGAGTCTAATGTGAAAGATTCGGTCATCATGAAAGATCACTTCATAACTGAAGATATAGGAAATTCGCATGAAGGTGTCACTTTCAGGAAATAGAAATTTGTCGAATTCGCTCTTGTAGGTCATCAATTAAGCGCCTCCGAAGAAACATTCAAAGCACGTCAAAGTTATAAAAACAGATCGATATTCTCATGTCTCACTCTCCAAATGACCGTCTATTCGGTCGGCCACTTATGGTTAGCCGTTCCCATGAACGCCTCTACTGTTTCGTCTACTTCTGATGTATTTTTGGGGGGTGAGGGTGTGGGTGTGGGTGGGTGAAAGTGGCGATGAAAAACTTCATGATTCGAATCAAATTGAGGTCGTCGAACTGTGTCCAGGCTGATGTTCAAACCGCGCTTAATAGTGAAGAAGAGAATTGGCCTGAGTTTGCCAAGATTCTCAGCTTTTGTCGCTCATGTCTTCGAAGTAGGCAGGTAGAGGGTTTTCAAAATGTTATCATTCGAATCAGTAGGGCACTTTGAGTTCTACTTCGAACTAGTGAGATCCTAGTTGAAACGCATGTATAACCGAATAGAATCTTGAAAAAACTCCAATCGGACACCAAGATATCTCACGTCGTCTGCTCTTTGATGAGCGGTACTGATGGATCTTTCCAGCATCTCTTTAACAGCAACTATTTTCACAGAAGATTGTTGCAAGACTCACGCAACAAATTCTTTCCTCATTGAACTCTGCATATGTTTCCTTAGTTGTAATGTAGGCGATCGGATGATGTGTTTATATCGCAATCTGATCTGTCAACAACGGACTCATCAAACGCATGATCTAAGTGAGATGATCATATGTGATTGCAGTGACTGAATATGCACGTTGGTTTGCGAATAGTAGTTATGCGAAAGACGTGTACAGCAAAGAATTCTATGAGAATATGCGAGAAGTGGAAAGAATTCATTAGGGTTTGTTTCAAGTTAATTCTAATAATCTACTGTCTGATTCGGAATGTAAGGATACGATAGAGTAGCCTATGAAAAAGAAAGAACACGATAGCGATAATGCACGTGGAGACCAATCGGTGATACTCGACTTGATCTTCTCATTTTTCGTAATATACTACGACAAAAGATCCAATTACCAATAGTCAAACGTCGTGGAGAAGATCAACTAAGATAAAATAGTAAGAGGACACTGCTCTTCTTTCGTCTATTATATGAATTAAATTTCCTTGTTTTGATCGCAGACGATGATTTTGTTGCTGCCACTGACTTACTCATTGTATGTCTGATTGCTCAAAAACAAATAGATTACCATCGTATCAATGAAGAGAATATCGTTATTCCCAGTTCAGCAATGAAATCAATTCTTTAAGGCATGCGCCTTGTTTAAACTATAAATATGGCGATAGTTAGAATACATTCAACTTCAAAGAACAAAAAATGGTTTTAGAAATATTGCGATACTAACTATGCACTTGTTATTCTTCTTATACTCATTCTTCAGATTTTTTCGTGTATTGTTACATCATTAGATGAAATATATTTATATTTCTTTTCAATTATGATAATAACTACAGCTTGTACTTGATAAAGATCAAATTCCATCCATCCGCCTACCAATATATCGAACGGAAGTTTCAGAATCTAGAGATAGCAAACTAATATCTATTTATTGACGAATTCTACGAACAATCGCAGCTAATACAGTCTCTTCACAAGAAGCTTTAAATAAAACAACGCATGAAACAGCTATCAAAACCCGTCGTTATTCTCTCACGTACCGAACACGTATTGATAACATATCATTTATCATTATGAATTCTACTCGAAAACAATGAAAGAAGAACCACTATGCATTTCTCTTCATTTGGTTTTCATTTTCAAATATTTAAATAGACTAATTCTGAATTATCATCGTTTTTCATCGAATCACATCTGTGAGAGATTAACTATCAGCAATGCACTGGCAAATATGCAGTTTTAACACGAGCAGTCATACCAGAAAGCATAACTATCAGCTATGCGCTCGCTTTTCTCTTTCGCATTGATTATTCAACTTTGATTAACCGCTTCGAAATAGATTAAACACATAAATACGATTTCGATATCGATCGTGACTGCTCGTCTTTTTCGTATTTCAGAAGATAAATGATGATTTCTCTCTCTGCGCGTCGAATTTGCTAGAATGTTAGTTGTACAAGTCTCGCGTAATGAATCATAGTGTAAAGTTAAGTGCATTCTCTGCTATGTTGTCGAAATAGCTGCACATCAAACATCAAACAGACTCGTACTTGCCGGCGATAAGATTTGACTATATGAGGCAATGCTCGTGTAGGAGATTCGTTTGATTTCAACATTTCCTTCTTTTTTTTGTTCCAGAGAAAAAGATAACAAATATTTTTGCCGATTTCATCTGTTTATATTACTTCATTACGTTTATTCTAGTACACATATATATTCCATCGAATTTAACTGTTAGTCTTCGAATTCGTATTTCAGATTTCGTAATGAATATATACTTCATTCGATTGAAACCCGGTTGGCCATATTCATCGTATAGTATTAGTTGTTTATCATTAATGATAACAACAGGCACGAAATAATGTTTGCCGATCATTTATTCACGAACTTTCAATCTTGGAAAATCTTCTTTCTTCTTCTTATATTTCCTCTATCACATTCGGCTTCGATCATGACATTATCATCAACAAATCTTCATCAATTCGAATTATTATCCAATCGATCTTATCGAAACTTCTACCTCAGACAACACTTTATTGATGTATTAAACATATCTCATTCATCATTAATACAATCGATGGTTGAAAAGCATCAATTACTAACGAATTTAGAAGAAAGTGCGTATTGAAATTTGCTCATCTATCATTCCAAACAACTTACTTTTTTGTTGTTGTTGTATCTTTCAGTTCGAACTCGTCGGCGCCGACGAACAATTACTTCGTCATCTCTGTTAACAGTCCCAATTCGAACAGTACAACCAACAGGTTGTTTATCTATAAATTCGAATAAGATTCAATCCACATTTTCATGGTCTGATGCGATCGACGGTTTCTCGTCGATCGAACTCGTTTATCACGTCAATACGAACCAAATATCCAAGTCGTCCATACCGTTGCGAATCGTCGTGAAACAATCGGACGATTTGCGCGAAGTGTTCGCGCTGGATACTAATTTAGAATATGATTCCGTGCGCGAATTTTATTTTCTTAATATTTATGATTACCTTCGACAAATCAAACGATCCAATCTAATTATCGAAAGCATTCTTTCTGATCAAACGTGCTCTACATCACATTCGTATTTAATCCTATCATCATTTCGTTCGAATCATCTATCTTTTCACGAAGAAACGAAATGTAAATTAAAATCTATTCAAATTCAATTTGAAGAACTTGGTTTAGCTCATTTAATTATTCGACCAAAAGAATACACATTTACATATTGTGACGGTTCATGTTCAGACTTAACTCTTCAACAAGGATCACTCCATACATTTTTACAAGCAATGATTAGTAAAAAGAATAGTCATGTACGTCATCCAACTTGCGTCCCTTCACAATATGCTGATGATAATTTTCTTCTTCGACAAACTAATGGTGATTTACAAATCTATCCTGTTAAAGATATTATTGTGAAACAATGTGCTTGTCTGTGATGTAATGTTTGTTTTTGCTTAAGAAGATGAAAATAGAAAAATGCCAATCGATCGTCTCGGGTATTAAGAAACGTACGTACGGTTCGAAATCAAGAACGTTATTGCATACAGGTTTCAAGTACTTCAGCAGACAAAATATTTTCAATTTTCTTCAAACATAGCTTGAACTAAATATTTTCTAAATATGTGTACTAATGCTACGAAGAATCTATACTCGTCTCTGGCTTGGCGCAAGAAGGAATGAATATCAAAGACACATGTGTAGCCTCTGTTTTTCTTATAAAAATAGACACAATTCTAATTTTTATTAATACTGAGTTATTCGATACATACAGTTTGCTTAGATGTTGAATTAGATGTCTAGTTCGATCGCACTATCAGATTTTGTCCTTGTCAAACTTCACTTGAACCTTGGACATAGTCCCAGTCAACATTCCGATCGTCGCGTTTAAAAAAGAGTTTGAATTTATCAATACTGTCTGTGTCGCGTTCCATTTGCCATAGTAGTTGACATGTACAAACCGATTTGGAGTTGGATGTTGTCGTCGAATTCAATGCGAAATCATCCTCTGTCCAGAGACTTGATGATTCACTTGCAAGATCCATTGTTTTCATTGATGCAACTGATTCATTTTTGTCTATAGTATCAGTCATTAAATCAGCATTCGTCGATGAATTTGCTGCAAGCACACATTCTGGTGAATGTTTCGATGTAGACTTAAATTGATTCTCGTCCTGCATATGCACCGCGGGATCTGTAGATCGTTTAACTGGACTTCTTTTAAGTAGTTTGTCAGGTAGGTCGTCTAAAGTGTTTTGACTAGATAATTTCTTACGATATGGAGGAGGATTGCTGATTATAGCTGGTTGAGGTGAACCGGATAATCGTCGGTTATATGTCCAAGGATGTGCATAAGCTGCTGAAGAACTCGATGCACGACGATCGTTGACGAGGAGATCACTAACATGCAATGTAGATGATGTACCAGCCGTATTATTGAGTTCACTATTTACAGGTAGATTATTTCCGAAACGAATACGATTGATAACCGAACGACGAAATAAAGGTGCACTCTCACTGTAACGATAGGATGATATGTCACCCTTTGATGTTGATGAGCCAAAATGACAGCGAATATCGGTGTTCGTTGCAAATGCACTAAAATTTATCGAGAATTGTAATAAAAACTCTTATGACTTTACTGGACTCAGATATGTTTACCTTCGTTGGTTTTTTTCAGGTTTGAAGATAATTAAATACAGTTTTGGAAAAAATAAGAACACGAGTACAACATATGCACTTGCATTTGTGGCAACACATAGTGAAAACACTTTGACATCAATCGTTACATAAACAGCAGCAAATGCTAACCATATAACACAAGTTGTATACATAGAAAAGCCGATAAATTTCGCTTCTAGATCAAACAAACAATAGGAATTCAAAACATCGAATCTACTCATAGTTGTGCAACTCACCATTGAAATTCTCAGGCAAATTCCTTGTTTTTATCTATGTAAAAGAAAAATTGGACAGGAAGGTCGGAAATGACAAAACTTACAGCATAAAGTGTACATAGAAATACTAACACACCGTCGAAACCAAGTGGAGCAACAATACCCGGAATGGAATTCTTGCCTAAGAGAGCAAAAATGTCACTATCTATTATACGTTCTAGCGATTGGTAAAAGCTTTACATGTCAGCAGCAAACGACCACCAGTTTCAATGAGCTCTGCTGTGGGTGGATCGCGATAGACGGTTGCGGCTAGAATGAAAGAAGAGCAATTGTGTGTTTGGAGAGAAATGTGATTACAAACCAACGATGATGATTTCAGTAACGATTATCAGACAAGCGATGGCAAGTTGATGCCGTGCACCCATAAACTTCAATCGTTTTGTGATGATTTTCTTTTTACTACGTGCTAGAAGTCGTGCAATTCGATTGGTTTTCGTCACTAGCGATCCATAGATCATGGAAAACGATATTCCTGGAAGCAGACGTGTTAAGACACAGATAATAAATGATGGCTTTTGCAGAATAATAAACGCAGTCAAATGACAGAATAAAATGCCCGTTAAAATCAAATAACTCAATTCGCGTGTGGTGGATTTAACGACTGGTGTCGCATTGAAACGTATAAATATATAAAGAACAAATAGGCTTATTAAGATACCGACCGCAGCAGCGAAACATATGATGACTGACAATGGATGACGAAAGTTAATTGTTGTGATTGGCAAGAGATCACAAGCTAAAGGTTTCTCAGTTATGAACGATAGGAAAATTAAAGTGTATTGATTACCTGTTTGATCACTATTCGGTGCAAATCCGACAGGACAAGTAAAGCAAGTCGTTTCGTCGAGAACGATCGCATTATCGCATGGATGACATTTCCAACAGCAGTGTTTTTCATCGATAAATTTCTGCGATAAAAGAAATCAATATTAATACCGGAAAAATGTGAACTAAATAACGAACTTTTATATGACCTAATGGACAAGCTTCACTACAGTACTGATGTATACCGATTTGGTTGATTGAATATTGATCCGCGAAGAATCGAATGGAGGATGTATTCAAACTCAATTTTCCTGTATTCCACGTTCCAATTTGTACATAGTGAAGAGGATGTTCAACGTCGTCGCTATTGTATTGCAAATTCAATATGTCGTATCTAAACTACTAAAATTATGTTTGAATGAATCCAACTGTTCTAACCTTCCAGGACCATCACCATTTTCATCGAAAAACACCTCTTCACCTAGAAAACATCGAATTTTTTTACTTCAACAAACATTTTCATACTTACCAGTTATGCCAGTAAATCGACTACTTGTTACGAACTGCATCAACAGAGATGTATTCATACGAGTCATTTCAGCACATAATCCACTTGTACCGTTACAAATCTACCATTTTTCATCTGATATAAACAATCAGCGAACTGTTTGTATTACATACTTGTTTATGCATTTTATCCAGTCCATGTACCACAGCTAGAATCGAATTGATGACGAAGGCAAGTTTGGGATCTTCATTGTAAGGTACACGAGTAAGACTTTCTTGTTCGGGACGACATTGACGAGCATAAGTTTTTCGACTAATCGTATTATTATAATTAGTCAATCCACAATCAAACTTGTGCTGCCAGTACTCAGTGAACCAAACGTTTCGGGTATTATTATACACATGCAATCGACGAAAATATTGTTCAAAGCCTGGCACACGTAATGAACGAGCTTTGATCTATAGATAAAGTATAAGGAATAAAACGATCTACCATCTCGAACTCTCTCGTTTACCGTAATAGCACCTAATGCAACATTTTCCGTGTTGTTTGGTATGACATTCAAGCGATCGGCCCATGCATCACTAATGAACAAGGCAAAGCTGAGAAAAGATCCTTACGTTTATTGAGAATTACCTTCCAAGAATAACGAATCGTTTTGTGTAGTTCAACTGACTAATCGCTTGTAATATAGCACGTATGGAATGATCAAGACAAAAGCAGATTAGTACTTGAACTCGGGGTGCTCGAATGATCAGTTGTTGAATTAGTTGGATGGCTACCGACACATTTGCACCAATTGGCTAATTCACAGAAAAAAAAACGAAATGAAAATGAATCGCTCACTGGTTATTTCAGTTTACCATAGTGAAATCAGCACCAATACATGCATCTTTTTTTAATAGACGACGGATAGCTTCGACTCCACCACGACCATAATCACCTTCGGTACCGATTGTAGCCACGTAATTCCATTTGAATTGTTCAATAATATCAACAATTGCTTGTGCTTGCTGTGTATCCGACGCAATAACTCGTATGAAATATTTGAACTTTTCCTTGTCGCTCAATTGTCGTGCAGTGGATGAATATCCTATCTGTGGCATTTCAAATAGTTGTAAGATATTATGCGTTTGCATGGTGATCGAACTATCGCCAGGCCCAATGATTGCTGCCAACTGTGATCGACCATTCTTCGTATTCAAAGTTGGATCACCGATCGTTAAAACGGATTTACCGATGAATTCGATAGTCTGTTCTAGTGCAACAGGTGCATACCAACACGAATCACGAATCTGATAACCAACAGTTATATTCGGTAGGATGGATTGATTGGCATTGACTGAAAATATCATCAACGAACATTGCCTTTCATTAGAAACAAACGATGCATGTTACTTTACTTTGGTCAAGAATCCAAAATGTTCCTTCGACACGATGTATACCATAATCTTCGCGAATGTCTCCACTGAAATATTTTATTTGTTTTCTCTCATTGCGATTATTCCGACAAGCTACACTTACCATTCTCGTAAACGGCCACCACCATGTGACACTGGCGGATTGTGTAAAGAGAAGAAAGCGCCGATGACAATGGGAGCTTCGGATGTTGGTGAAACAGCTACGAACAGGAAAAACAAATGAGGAATACAATCGAAATAAGATCGTTCAACTCTACCTGACAGACGATTAAAATAACACATGACAACATTAGAATGTGGACTGATGATGAGTAAACATATACTGCTGATGGCTCCAATTAGAATACGATTTAAACTGTAAGAAGAAAATAAAGAGATTCGTTTGAACATGGATAAAATGATAATAATCGGACGATAAATAAGTATCAAGAAGAGAAATTTTCAAATTGCCATAGAATAACCAAAATTTGGATTTGATTAAGAAAGGAATACACTCGAATTCAAATAAAATTTGAGTATGACGAGCCATTCCAATCTTTCATTGTTCTCCAAAAGAGTATTGAAATTCTTTCAAATCAATGTATCCATAACAGATAGAATTGTCATGATGTATTTCTTTCCTTTTCCTTCTGCTGCATATGACAGTAATGCTAACTGATTACTGTTGTAAACTGCTACATTTTTCCTTCTCTTGTGCTCAGATAAACGATCGTTTTTCTTCCGCTAAGTTATTCTTGGTCTGTCTGGTCGTTCAATCGAATGAACACTAAGACTTGTTATCTTCATTGAATTAAGTTAATCTGGACTTCTTTCTCTTTCTTCGATCTCAGTTGTGCTCGAGTTTTTCTCCTCCATCTTCTGCTGGAAAAACACACAGATGACATCGAATCAGAAGAAAATTTTTTCTTGCAGTCCAATGATCTTTCAACACAACAGTTCATGACAAAATCAGAAATATTGAGTGGAGATTAATAAGATTCTCTATTTGATCCGCTGATGGTCCTATTAACCTCATATCAATCTCCAACAGAAGTATAGGCAGAAGTCAATTGTACTTGTATAACTCTATATTAGCCCAACGCCTATAAGTAATGACTGCTGAATACGATAGAGAACATTGTATCAGTGAGGGCTGGTAAGAAGAACATTCGTTCAGATAGATAATTCTATATCCTGGATTTTAATAATAATGTTAGAGAAGATCAATTGAATTAAACATCGAACTACAAGTTTTCTACGAGAGGAATTCAACTATGAACATGCATCGGCATGAGAGTTAGTACAACTCAAGTAATTTTTTTCTTTTGCATATAATTGTATACTTTGAGTTAAAACACCGGACTTGAACTATTAGAACCGTTTAGCAAAATGCATTTATCAAGAAAAAGTAAGCCTATAGTTATGGATGATTTTGCCCTCGATTACTTCTGTTTTTTTTTAACTATAAAAACAGCTCAACAAGACATTTAAGTGTTGAGTTCATTTCGAGATATGCGTCCGTATCTATCTGCTTGTTTTGTTATTGCATACGTGGCACTTGTCGAAAGTGCTTGTCTAACACCTCGTCAATTCTTTGTGGACTGCGGTGCTACACGATCGTTACAGAATTCCGCAAATTTCTGTGCAAAATACGGCATGACTTTATTAAATCTAACCAATTCATCGACTATTGTCAGCCAAGTCATCGATCTTAATCAAACTCTCTATTCAATCAATTGCAATTCTCTGTTTTGGTTTTCATCCGGAAACAAAACAGGAATACTGGCAAATGCTGAATCACTCGGCGCAGTTCTGACTAGTCTTCTTACTGGTCTTGGTGATTTACTCGGTGGAGTACTGAACCTTGTTGGTAATCTACTGTGCAGTCTACTTTTCGTTCCCTGTCCAACAACAACAACACCTGCACCCATTACCCAAGCGATAACTGTTTGCGTTCGACCGATACAACAGAGAGTGATACAAAAATGCTTGACTCAATCAGCACGAGCAGACATGAAAACATTCCAATTCAATGAACAGCCCATGTACGGCGGAGTTATAGACACCTTTGCCTCACGAAGTCGGATGACATGCAGTGGTATATGTTCATCTATGAATGAATGCATCGGTATATCGTACATCAATGGCATCTGTAGTCTTTACATGTAACGATTCTCTTATTCAAAACAGAAAAAGTCGATTGAAGGTACATGTAATGATGAATCTTTTCTTAATCTCAATGAATAAACTTCAAAGGTACGTTCTCTAGTTACGTACATCATGTATGCACTAGTGATTTCCAAAAACTAAGAAACACGAAGTTATTCCTAACACACTTTACAAGACTTTAGAAACAATGAATTGCAATCATCTGGAGTGTAATGTTTTTTTAAACTGAAGGGTTACTTATTTGATGCCTATCATCGCAAGGTATGATCAATATAATATCGAAAATATGTCTTTCTCTTGTCATACACTTCCTCATCAGATTCCGATGTGAATTGACATGTACGACGTTATTCATGATTAGTTAATGTATTCTGCAGCACTGGAAAACCTCGTTACTAAAAAGAGAAGTACTTGTAACGAAAAACCTGACATGTGAGTATGATTTTTCTGCTCCTGTTATATCTCTCAAGCAATACAGAAATAGATGTGTCACATATCTATCGGAAATGAATTTTTACCTTCATAAACAATCATCTGTTGCACTGTTATTCGAACTTTCATACGTGAACTGAGGACATTCATAGAGTATCATAAACTTTCAATCAAGAACAGCGTATAAATTCCCGAAAGCAAATTGGAACATCATATCAGAATAAAATTCTGGTCAAAGCAATGTTCTTGTTCATATTCTTTCTTTGTCTTTTTGTCGGTCGCTTTCAATTCGTAGAATCGGATTGTTCTCCGCCGATCAAATTCTACGTTGACTGTGATGGAATACGAACAGCAAATGCTGCTAGTCAATTTTGTTTAAGTCATGGTATGACTCTTGTGAACTTCACCAATGGAACGGGATCATTAGCAAGTGATTTATCACTCCTCAATACAACATTTATAGCAGATAGTTGTGTTGGCAATTTTTGGTATTCATCAGGTTCACGCACTGGACTAGTTGCCGGAACAAATGAACTTGATAATTTGCTTGGTGCTCTGACGAACTTACTTGGAAATATTCTCTGCCTTATACCATTTTTGTGTCCAGCAGTAACAACAGCTGCACCTATTCTCAATGCTTACACAGTATGCACTCGACCAATTCACCAAAATGTGATACAGAAATGTTTAAATGGTGTGCAACGTGAGGATATGCAACAATTTCGATACCGCACACAAAGTGTGTATGCTGGCGTCTTGGATATATTTTCTTCAAGAACTATAGCAGCATGCAGTGGCTCATGCTCGTTGAATAATGCATGTATGGGAATTTCCTATAGTAACGGTATTTGTACTCTTTATATGTAAACAAACGTATTTTGTGTGTGTTAAATAAAACAAAATCAAGTTTTGCCATCGAGAGAAATGCGAACTTTCTTTTTTGATTACATTAGTCCATTTATATATAAAGTATGTGAAAAGACACAGCTGTCACATGGCTTTTGCACTCCCGTTTCAGTTTTGGACAGAAAGATACGCAAAGAGCAAACGTATTCCTGATTTATTCACATCAAGTTTTTTAATTTTGCATAAGAAAGACAACTAGGATCAAGAAAACATTCGAACTGTTTTGGTATCGAACTATTCTGTTTTTTATAATAAATCCTAGGACGGATATATTTAACCCGCGACAATTGTTGCAGGAAATTGCAAACATACGTAATCTTGCTTTTGATCATCAGCAATGACCTCTATTTTGACGTAGAGTGAAAGTGATGGATAGGATTGTAATACTGGAACTGAAAAAGATCCCACGTTCACATCGGATTGAGCAACTGGACATTTGACACCAAGATTGCAAGCATTACTGTCCGGAATTGGAAATGGAACCGGAATACCACCGATGATACCTTTAAAAAACATTCGTAAAAATATAGACTCCATCACTAACGAAACAATTCTCATACCGTGTAAGGTAACTGTTGCAGATTTTGATGCTTCCTTTGCTTGAAATGTTAAGTTCATCGCATATGTATGACCTTTGATGAACTTGCATGGAGCTGCCGCACAATCAGTGACTTCGAAGGCTTGAACAGTAGCCAGTGCAGATCCACAATCTTTGTATGGAGTGGCGCTCCGAACAAAATTTACTGAATAAAATAAGAGACTCATAACAAACCAGGTGAACATATTTGCTTAGACTGATATACCACGAAAAGACCAACAATTGTCTTATATACATTTGTGAGGAAAAACAGGTGATGCCTGTTCTCATCTCTATCCAGTGAAATAGATTATTCTGCATGGTTTCTTGTTGTTTTATTTGCCATACGATTTCGTATTATCAGAAGATTTTCAATAACAACAAAACTAAGTTAACAAATATATAAAAACATATTCGAAACACTGCGCTGCATAGAAAAAGAAATGATGAAACAAGCGAAAAAGAAGAGAGTAGAACACAAAAAAGAATAAGAAATTCACAAACAACAAATAAGATAACTTAACAATGATATATGTCGATTTCACATATACATATAGAGGTTAAACTCGCTAAATAACACAGTGAAATCTTTTTTCTTTGTTCTTTGAAGACACACTCAACCTGAAAGGAAGTTTTTCACGATTCATCTGACAATCGTTGATCAACTATGATAGTGATACACATCCAGTCATCCAGATTCTACTATATGAAATCACTACGCTTCTCAAAAAACACGACACTCACATCAGATCATTAGTATAAACAAACTATTGAGTAGCACGAAATCGAATCAGTAGGAAAATATAAAAAACAAAGAACGATACATGAAATCAAACAGAGAATGATGCAAAACATACACACAGAATCTACATTTGTGAATGAATAGGTGCTTGCTAGACGAGTACATTTTACTGTTAATAACAAGAAAAATAAAAAAAAAGAACACCGGACCAATGTTTCTAACATTCGAACTTAGTGATTTAAACGGCTGTTACTTGTTCTTGATCGTCATAATCGATAGATGATTCTTTGAAAGACACAAGACAATGTGTTCACAATTGATAGCGTTAAGAAAATGTCGAACTAACCTTGATCAAGAGTTACTTCAGTGTGAGATTTGGAACGTTGCAACCAAGTGCGTGTAAGTACCGATCCATGGACATCCTCATCAACAATAACAGCAGAGTTTATTTCTAAAATCAAATGAAAGAATATCATTTAGACTTCATAGAAATGAAAACGCAGGTTTTCGAATGTGTACCGGAATTCATTTGTGGCAATACAATTCGATTTCGATTCGTCATCACTAAATATCCATCACCAACTAGGTTAGTTGTTGATTTCTCACTACAGTGACCAAGCATAGCTACAATGTATAGTTAGTTGAACTATCGATCCTAAGCGATGAGTTATTTTTACATACATGTCTCACTTGATTTCAGAATATTATCATCTGAATGGCCGTTTTTCAATAATTCATTATTGACTGGATTGTCTATTTCTAAATCGATACTTGTTTGTTGCGTTCACCGATGAAAGAAAACTTACTGATATGTGATCGAATATACAAGACCGATGATGCTGGTTTCAAGTTCAGACTAGAACTTTCGCTTGTTAGTTTATTCGCATCGCGCATTTTCGCCACTTGATGATAACGGCGTTGCGTTAATTCGCTAGTCGATGTTAATCCAGTTAGGGTCACGGAATTATTTATCAAGGGTGATGCGCTTCGAAGTATGGGCGTCGTCTTTTGTGGAGCTCGAGATTTTATTTGATGATTGCTATCTGATAATCGAAGTAATTTATTCACTGCATCGGGAGATTGTGTACCTAGACGAAGAAAACAGTAGAGAATTTCATAATCTTCACGCGATCAAAAACGAAAACGTCAAATTATAAGACAATACAACAATATCTAAGTTACTGCTTACTACCTGAATAACTTTCTAAAGAGAAGAAAGGTTATTCCGCGTGGAGAGATTGTGAGTTACGTACCGAATTTGGTCAATTGAACTGATCCGCCACGACGATCACAAGATGAATTTGAAGATAAACTGGAAGTTGATGGTGATGGACGGCGTTTAAGTGTACTTACTAAATCAAAGACGAAAATGCACGATCATGTACTAAACTAATGAATCAATAGGGAAGATAATCATCATCAATCAAGAGCAAAAGGCAGCAATAGCAGCAGCAGTAAACAAAACGAACCGATGCTTCGAAATCAAGAGTTTAGAACTTTTTTCCTTTTCTTTTTCGAACGAACATCATTTTGGAGAAGGACATTTGTCGAAGCGACAATGGTTGTTGATGTTGAGTGAATTCGTGCGCGTGGTAATGCAATATTCAACTGAATATCATATCCAACTAACGATAGTCTTCTTATCGCTGTTGATAAATATCCTTCTCGAATGAAATAAATATGTAGAACCATGCGTATGAAAGAGAATATATGTATATGGGTACCAAACCATGCTCATCTCGATGCTGATGAAAGGTCTGTCTCACCGACTTTAAGTCATTTTTGGTTTGTACGCTCAAAGAAATTGAAAAATTAGAATGCAAAAAGAAACTAAGAGATGAATAGCTAGTATGGCTCACAAGTATATTTTCCAGAAGGAAAAAACTCGGACTAAGAAGTTGAGAAAAATCTGGCTTTTCTTCGTAAAGTACTGAAATGATTTGATTACTTACCAGGTTCACATTGGTTCGCTAATTCAAGTAAACGATCCTCATCTTCAATGATTTCGGCATTATTCAAGTATGTTTTCACTTTTTTCACCATTAATGCCTGAAAAACAAGAATTTAGAGTTTAGAAAACGAACGGTATGCTTTTTACTTCATCGTAGATCCGTTTAGCATTAGCAGCAACAGATAGGCGCATGCCAGTCTGGTGTCTTCTTATCGTTCCGTACGAATCCGTTGATGATTGATGTCCAAAACCGGCAAAAATTTGAGAATGCGACGTCGGAGAATCGAACATGTTCGAAATATCCTACAAGTGAAAATCAAATTCACACATCTCTTGGATATTAATGCCCATCTACTTACATAAGGTGATGAAGACATATTAACGATATATCGAATTTCTTTTGCGATCATACGGAGCTTTTCAAAATTAATCTAAAAGTCACAATTACCTCCGAATAAGAATGAACACCGATCTGAATCATACCAGATCATTATCCTGAGTTTGATTTCCTAAATGGATGAAAGTCAAATCCTTCATACACACTGGAAACATGGGGATCTATAAACATGATATCACGAGATAGAGGAAGTTATAGTAGAAAAAACAACAACTGACAATCGGCGGTACGACGAATTCATTCTTCAATAGATTTCGATAAACCGACATATTACGAGATATATCAAGTAAAGATTTGAGTTCCTAAAATTGAAACAGATAGTTGTGGAGAGCAATACGAACGACGAAAGCTATTTTACTTCAAATAATTTCTTGTACTTCTCCGGTACACGTTCCCAGGTTGCTTGCAATCGTTGTACAGTTTTATGATCGAGTCCACTGATAATTGCAAACATTGAATTGAAATTTTTCATGTCTTTACAACATTCTAAGAAGACATATCATTTCAAATGGATAGACTGTCCTGCAATACTCATCTTACTTGCAATTTTGATGAAATGTTTCACGATTTTCGATCTTTGAATAAGATTCGTTTCACGTATAATCTCCGTAATCGTCCAGTACATCTCCTGATTGGGTAGCCGAAGAAATTTCTCGAGATGTGGTATACCATACGCGGATTTCAACTTGAAAACATGATCAATATATTCAGTGGGTAAAATGGATTTGAAGATTGCAAAATCTCGTAGTGTCAACTGAGCACAGATTTCCAATGAATCCAATTGTAAAAAATGAATACGGGCTTCGCGTATTAATTCATTCGATAGATGATCTGGAACAAGTGTTTCGGTTAAATGGTTGTTTTTTAGATAATAACGAGCATTGATTGGAAGACGTTCGGGAAGGTTGTCGATATTGTCAGGTAAACGTTTTTGTTTGATCACATTGTTCTCGACGGAGACTTCACATAGTGAATAATACCTAGAAGAAAATTAACTGGATAAGAATCTGATCGTTACTCAAAAATCTTCAACTTCGATAACGTGTTTCAACACTTGCAATAAGTGTTTGTAAACTAAGGAATTAGATTAGATGCGGATCAATCATTTCCATCCCCTGAGCGTGGTTTCTTACCGCAGTCGATCAAATTCTACAGAAGAGGGTGCATAGCTATAACAAAGCAAAATGAAGTTCGGCTGGCAGTTACGAGAGAAAGGGAAAGTAGCCAAAGTAGGAAACCATCGTGCTTTGTCAAAGTATATGTTACCTGCTTTGATCAACAATACTGAATTCCGTGATTGCCAACATGACAAGTTGTTTGGCTGTTGTACTCTGACAAAGAAAAATTATTGCTCAGAATGAAATTTATGAACATAAACGATGAACTCATACTTTAAGTACAGGAAAGTATTTAAAAGATTGATCACTACGATAGACTTTGACAACAAATGTAAGATTATCTTCATCATTGATTGTTCCACTGAATGTTGATGTCGATGATGTAATTGATTTGTTACTAATCGACGACGATGATAAGTCCGGATTACTTGAACTTCGGTTAAGGCTTTTATTTGAGTTCGACAATGACGAAACACTGGAATCCAGTACATTATCCGTTCCGTTGACGTCAAACTCGCTAGAAATGAAACGTGAAAAATATCAAATCAATGTTGATTATGGTTGATTAGATAAGACTACATTTCCTTTTTCCAATTATATAACGATAAACATGTAACGTTATTCAAACCCGTTAGCCTCGATAACGGTTAATTGTATCATTAAAACTTTATCTGTGTGATCAATCGGAAACTTTGTCGTTTTCGATTTCACTCAAAACAAGTAGTCATCAAATGACTTTGCGGTATAAAATTCGCACTCGCGCAGATATTTTCGACTCAAAGTCGTCTTTGCGAACGCACAGTTTATTTGTGTGTCTACAACGATGAATCACCGTCAACAGCCATATGATTTTCTTTGGTGTTTACATAGTTTTCTTTTTTCTACATTCCAGCCAATATTTTTCCTTTCTTCGGCACGTGACAGTCTCGTCTATTCCCTACCAAGCTCTGTCAGAATGCAAAAAAAAGCAGACTAGAACAACAATCTGGTAGAAAAGAAATTGCATACGTTTGTTTTTTTTTATTTAGATATAATTTCGACCGTAGCTGGCTGCTTTTCGCATCCTATGTTCGATGGTATTTAATATTCTCAACTATTCAAGTTTATTATACCGTCGACACCGACGGAGATGAGTACAATTACTTTAGAACTAACCGATGCAAGTGCAATCGAACCTTTGCATGTTCCTCTTCCAACGACGACCAGTACATCCGAAGACAGTGAAGACGAAAGTCTTGAGAGTCATCGAAATTCGTCATCCAATATTAAATCGTTTGCTCAATGTTATATTCAACAACTAAAACTCGTTTTTCAATCTATCATCCCGGATCTGAAATCATTTCACACATGGCAAATACTTATTCTTATTCTCTATGCAACATTCAATGTTGTTTTCTCCTTTCTGGTAAAGAGCACCTACGATCGACTTAATTAAATTTTACTTTTCTCCTTCCGTTTTTCAAGGACTTCAATTCAATCATTTTTCGTGATCGAAAACAGTCTCTATTCAAATGGATCAACGAGTACAATCAAGGCACACCGTTATGGAGGCGTGTCTTGCTCTCCTTTACGGGCATATCTGCTATAACAAATGTTCTAAATGTCGTTCTTGTTATTCGCGGTAAGATGTCGTCCTATTTCTGGGGTATCTTAGGCGCGATTTTCTATGGAACGTTTGCATTTGCCAATGGTTATGCCGGCGACGCTCAATTGTTCGTATTCTTTTTTCTACCTATGCAATTTGTTGGCATCCATATCTGGTCTAAAGAATTAGACACAGAATCGACAGCCCGTGTCAAATCATTGAAATTCTCTGGCTGGTTACTCATTATTCTATTAAGTGGTGCTTTCATACTTCTGTTCTATTATGAAATTCCGATGTTTTCGAAATTGTTAACATCGAAATACTTATTTGAACAAACGCCCGTGCCGCACGTACTCGATGCTCTTACAAATGGATTGAGCGTCATGGGACAATTTCTGTGTATTGCTCGATACTGGGAACAGTATATCATCTGGACATTTGTCAATTTGTTGTTAATCGTCATGTACAGTGGTGAGCATGAGAAGAGAGAAATTTTTTGATCGATGATGTCGTTCGACATTCTCGACACTACGCTTAGCTATGTATGCAAACGATAAAATCGATGTTTGTTTCGTTTAGGTTTCTTCGGAACACATTTCGATATCAATTCAATCCTGGTTTGGATCATGCTGACGATAAATTCGTCTTGTGGATTGTATACATGGTATCATCGATGGAAAATTTCTCAACATTCCTCATCAAGATTAGCAATCAAAGCCTGATTACCTATTATTTTTTGTAATTTTCAATTTTTGCATAACAGCACGTTTCAAGCCCATACGTTTTGTTAGTGGACGAGGCTTAGATTTGTCGGCATTGCTTGGTATATTTTTCGTGGGAGTAACGATTGTTGTCAACGGTGATCGCGCCTGATGACGATAAGTTTCAGTTGGACTCATTGGTAGAATAGGTGATGTTGTTGTGGAATGGGAACGTATTGGTGATGAACCGTTTAGTTTATTTCGAATTTCTTGTTCATATAATGAAATGTCATGACGTTTCTTCCGAACGGGTGATTTTTCTGGATTGATGATTTCATTGAAACCTAAAATTAGAACGTTTTTGCTATGTATTTTCTTTCCGTGCGATTTTTGCTAATAGAATAAATCATTGTCGTGTAAATTCTTACCCATCAGATTGTTCTTAACTGTCAATGACAAATGGGTTGAACCACGAAGAATTTCCAGCGCTCGAGCGTGAGTTAAATAATCAAAGGATTGACCATTGACATTGAGAATCTAAGAGAAGTAGTGTACATCTTACCAATGACATAATGTTTCTCTTTCTTTCATTCACGTACCTGATCACCTCGACGTAAACCGGCTTCATACGCTTTCGAATGACATTCAACCTTCGATACGAAGATTCCGTTATGTGTTACTGTGTCGCTACCGCCAAGTATATTAAAATTCAATACATCGTCACGCGTCGAACGCGTTAGTGTTATGATTCGTACACTCGCTCGTGTAAAACAAGCTAAATTGAGTAGATATTTCCATGATCGCATACCCTGAAGAAAAATTATCGAATATTTGTAATAGATATCGATATTTTTTACTTCGCCGTCGTGATGTTGGAGTTCGTCATCGAATTTTTCGAGAAATTCATTTAATTGTGTGTTCGATTCGAAATCATTGTAATGGTTGTTAACCCATGATAGAATAACGCGTGAGACATGTTCACAGATTGTTAAATTAGTGCTTTTCTGGAAACATTCAAGTAATTTATTCAATACGATCGTTGGATCGTGGAGAAATGTTCGATAAGTAAGAAGAAAATCTTCAACAAAAGTCGGATCATCAAGTAATTGACGTTCGTCAGCGAGTAAATCAAGTAATTTTTCAACGGTTGCCTACAATAAAAGTTCATTTTCATTACTCACACAAACTTTCCTTTACCTTGATGACAATTTCTCGAGGCATTCGATGTTCATCATCGTCAATACGTTTTTCTTTCATCATCACAATTTTACCGTTCTCTTCAATTTTTCGAACATCTTTTTCACCCTAAAGCCGTGATCGGTAAATGATTCGATCAGAGAAAGTTCATCAACTCCTACTTGATTCAATATTGCATAATAATCATTTTGTGCCACGACAACAAATTGACAATCATCAACACGCGTTTTCATGATACCTTTATGACAATATTGATCCAATGTAGGACCACATCCAAAACTTTGTCCAACAGTTAATGTTCGTATTGGTTCGCCTGTAACCGTTTCATCATCAATGATTCCATTGATGATAACTGACCAGGAATCGTATCGTTCGCCGTCATTCATCACTACCGTTTGTGCTTTTTCAACTTGAGCGTAAACAAGTACTTTACATAATTCGCGACGAACGTGTAGAGTCAAATCAGCAAATGCCTGAAGAAGAAAATCGAAATCGATATAATTGAGCCAAAGATAACTTACTGGAAAGTGATGCAGAAATTCTAAGATTGCTTCGATATCGTCGTCAGTTCGTTCATTGGCTTCTTTTGTCAATACTTCTCGTATGTGATCATGGATTGGAAATGAATGCTGGAGAAGAAGACGCTTAACTCTAATGAACGCAAAACAAATTCTTATCTTCTTACTTCGGATGATCCTTCTGATTCGTCATCAGTTTCATTATTTATCATTAGACAGTCATCACCATTTGTCGATGATTGCATGATATCCGAGCCTGAATATGCACTTGATGTATCACTTGCACGCGAATGTGAACTACGTATCATTGACGAATGAATATCATTCGAATTGGTGACTGTTATAGAACGCTTGAAATGAGAAAAAAAGAGAAGATATACGTATATGTTCGAGTAAAGTGAAATGATTTGATTACTTGTCGAATACGTGAACTTTTCTTTCGATTTAGTGTCATTGTTTGAAGTTGATCTTCGTCATCAATAATAGATTGATCTTGTTCTTGATGTTCAATTCTCATTAGTGATTCTTTTGTTTCCACGGATGGATAATCAATCTAATAAAGACGAGAAGATTAAAACTTACAAAGAATCAATCACTTACAACAAGTAGTTCCGATGGTTCGAGGATAACGCATTCATTTAGTCGATAGGGATTCGCCGGAGTTCGTTTACCGAAACTACCAATTCAAATAGATTATTCTACCATCAAACAAAACTATGTTACCTGGCTCGTGGTAGATACATCGTTGACTCGATAAAAACGGAGCCGGATAATAGTATATACCAACAAGTATTCAAATCACCACGACTAAAAGTCAAATTAGAGAGTTGCACATGCACTCTTCGAGAATATATTCGCACATCTCACAAGACTAATCTGAAACTATCTTGATCTATTCCGTAGAAATGATTCTCATCGTTCTGATGTAACGGCTCAATGTGAATGTCTATCAACTGGAATATCTCTCATTGGTACTAGAGACGTAGATGATTGACCGTGATCGTCAGCCAAGAAAGGAATACGAACTATGCAAACATACAATGATGATGAATAGATGTATGTGTGTATGTATCTACGGATCTATGTAGTGTCACTATCAACGAGTAGACATAACAAACTTAAAAGAATGTTGTCATTCGATATAAAGAAAAAGGATCAATATAAATATTGTAGAGAGAATAGTTATTGAAAAAAAGACAAACCTGAATAGAACGTGATGTGTATCATGAATTTCATAACGAATTGTTTTGCACAAATTACGAATATGTGATTCTCGAAGTGTTGATAAAGCTTCCAAATGTTTGAGATAAGTGTTAATAATCGTTAAATCCTATAAAAAAGAAGAGAAGAAAAAAAAGGTACGAATATTCACTTCCTATTTGACACCTTCGAAGAAAAGAAAGAAAAATGAGAGAAAAGTGAAAATGACTGCCTGTAAAAAAAAGTGTGGTCTTTTCTTTTTAAATTGAACTCGTGAAGCCGGACAAGAAGAACAACTGACCTCTATGATAAAGGAAAAAGTGAAGTAGAGGAGAAAGAAAGGAGAAAAGAGAATCTGTACCTTTCAACGTAGTTGTATGGACAACGGATGAAAGTGTATGTCAATGTATATATGTGTATGTATATGTGTATGTGTACTCATTCGGGCAACTTGATTTCACCCCCACTTCTCTTTTCTTTTCTTTCCTTACTCTCTTTCTTCAATGTGTGTGCGTGTGCGTATGTATATATATATATGTGTGTGTGTGTATATGTCCCAAGTTCGATGATTAACCATATAGTTCTCTATACTCAATGAAAGTTGGTAATCATCTCGGATGGTGGTGTTGTCAATCATAAGAGTAGAATAAAAGAAAACAGCTAGTTATAGATTTGCAGGGGCTATGATGAATGAGCAGTTGTTTTTGTCCTTCTTCCTTATACTGAAATGACATTCTCATGACAAAAATCGTCCAAATTCTCTAACTGAACAATGAAAAAAAATGACAAACGGAAATTCATTCTCTTTTCTTTAAATATTTACATTCTACTTGTCTATATGTCCTCAGGTGCCGAATAGGAGTGTACGGATGAATAGAATTTCAATCTATTGGTTCAATTTAAAAGAAAAAGAGTAAGAAGATACTCTCTAAAATATCGAATTCATGCTGGTGACAAGTCGAAATAGAAATAAGCAGACAAACCTGAACAGTTCGATCCGATGGAATCTTGACAACACTCTGTCGAAATGCTAAATCAGCACCATACATTGGTGACGAGAGTTTCTTATTTGCATACATCATTTCTTCGGGTACTATAGTTGTCGGGATGTCATATTCTTGGTTTGTTTGAATGGAATGAAGGTCAAGAACTAAATATCATATCTAGAAGTAGGAAAAGATTGTGTCTGTATAATCAACAACTATCAATTGCTTGGCAAAATACATCGAAATAATTGATACCAACGAATCTCAGTCGATTGTGCTGACAAGAAAACATCGAGCAAGATTAGGCTTGTCGACATTTCATTATGATTTCGTATTTGATAATACGAAACAAAAACACATTGGTTGTTCATTCGAACACGAGAAACAAATTTCTCGCAGTAATTGCATACTTATTGAATATCAGTTCAAAACAACGAAGTTCATTTTATTCTCGCCAATAATTATCATCATTATCATATACAGTAAAACCTCTCTAATGTGAACATAATCGGGACTGTCTCAAATCGTTTAAAATAGGCGAGGTGACCAGTTAGACGAGGATTAATGAAAAAACTTCACAAGTAAATTAGCTTGTTGTGATTTTTTTCTTCATTCTACTGGCATTTATTCAGATTAATAATGTACAAGCATTCATAATTGAAGAAAATGGTTCATCATTTCGAAAGATTCGAGATTTACTATGCAGATGCAGGTTTTATTCACTTTTCCTTCCAAAAAGAGATCTCGGCGAGAAGACATGTGAATAAATCACACAACTTACAGACTTAACACATCCATCTGTACAAACAATTCATTCTCTCCCTCTTTCTCTCTTTATACCAATTGAACGACAAGCCAATCAGATGGACATTGTGGACAATGACATAGATGGCGTCACTGACACACATCTATAGTTGGGACCGGAGAAAAGCGTTCGTAGGTAGAATCGCGAAGGGATAAGTTAGGAGACGTTCAAAACGAGCAAAATTCTCTCGGGGGATCGGTGGGTGTTCAGTAATAGAGGTTTTACTGTACGTTATTTTATCTTCTTTATATACAATTAAAAAACAAAAAGCAATACTAAGTATATATCTCGTTAAGATGAAAAATTACCGAAGGTTAACACAAGTGGGACGTTAGAGGAAGGTGAAGTTTGAGAAGTACTGGGTGATGGGGCTAGGACAACATTCATCGCTGTTGTTTTTAAAGAAGAGTTTAAATCAGTTGAAGTTGGCATCGATTGTTGCGAAGGGTCTAGATGAAAAAAGCAAGATAATGGAACAGTGACTGCGGCCGGTGTTGAAAGAGGTGTGATCGTTTCATTGACTGATTTGATCTCTTCGGATAATTTTGACTTCGCACGTTTGATTGGATGGATCTCTGATGGGATATTATCTAATTGAAGTAGAGAGATGTATAAGCACTATATAACAACGAAATATACCTTGCATACTTCCACTTGTCCGTTTTTTCCGTTGTCTCTCCTCGACAGGTCGATCATCAGTCGTCGAACAACTTTCAACAATCGTTTCGTCTTTTTCTAAACACGTCTGAATCAATGCCTTTCCAGATTCACTTGTGATCATCGGCTGCAGTTTCGGAGTTGCATATGTATAAACATGACCTGAAGACATTTCGTTAAAAGTGAACAAAACTCTTTCAATTGGTCATACCTGTTTCGGAAGCTACAAGAAGCATTACTTCAGTACCAGTTAATGTTGCTAATTCGTAAGCTTTTTTCATAATACCCGTTTTCCGTTTCGAAAATGTTGTATATCGTCGAACTTTATCATCGATATAGGCCATTTTGATTTTCACCCGACCCAGAGTTTTCTTTGTTTTCTTTTGTTTCATTGGATTGTCCATTGATTCACTATCATCATCGTCATCATCGTCAATAAACTCTTCGTTATCATCAGTTGATGATATTGTCTGAAAAGATTTCGGTTCCATCTGACTGTTTGCTTGTTCAGAGTAAAACGACGACGATGATGACATTACTGTTTGATTTTGTAGTCCTATGTTAATTTTAGTGAGAAAGAGAAAATCTGACGAATACACAAGTTTTTGGCATAATGAATCATATATATACAAATATCAAAGCAAAGATATTTGATATCCGACCGTGGATTGGTGGAAACAAGTCAGCGATAGCCAGAGACACGATTCTTCGTGGAGCAATGACATCTGTAGCAGAAATTGTAGTTAACATGGAACTCATGGATTTTTCATCTTAAGTGGTGATGTTGACGATCGATCACTACCATACCCACAACTACTCTCGTCATTTCGAGTTGTGTTTACTACGGACTATCCGAGATCGACAAATCTAGGTTTCCGGCCTACCAACACAAAAACCACCATTCTGCACGTCTTTTTTAAGCTAAAGTGAAAAAAAAAGCTTTCTCCATCGGATTCAACAGTTGGATTGCTCGTTGTGAGTTTGATTCCTACGATAAACTGTGAAAATAGACTTTTCATCATGATCGTCATCTCTTCACTGATTTTTTTAAATCTATGTACATTACTGTGCAAAATTAAGTTTTTTATACTTTTCTTTGTCACTCATGTGAAGAATAAAAGATAGGTAGATAGATCATGTATGCAATGTGATCAGGTGGGTTTTGTGGATATGATTTTGATTTGTAATTACTCTGCTCAATGCACTAATATTTGTATTAAAAAAATGATCCTTCTCTGATGTGATTCGAGTAATCCAGAAGTTGAACACTTTGTAGCGCATTGTTTGAAAAAGCAAACTATGATTATTTTGCGAATAGAGTGTAAATGAACATTTCATTTCGATTTTCTGCCAAAATTCTGTATTCCGGTGCGGTGCCGGTACAAAGTCTGATCAAGAGAAGAAATCAAATTAGACACGATTATATTCTGTTAATATTCTAATATGAATGAAAACAAACAAAGACATATGACTTACGCCGGAGATATATTTTACTCCTTTACTGGAAGAACTGCAATTTAAATCCAGTCATCTGAAAGGTATGCAAATTACTACATAATCATCCCTATTGAATAAATAGCATTGAATTGTATCGTTAGTTCTTGACAATTGTTCAAATTAGATATTTTACATATATGCAATACTGATTTCATCCTCGCGCAGATTTCAGGAACCATTCTTCTCGGAGAACTTTACTGAAGAAGGGTTCATTTCTAAAATATGTCATCAAGCAATGATACATCGGTTGTTGCTTCTAGTACCATCATCGTGACACTCAATCTCATTAACGAACGTTTTACTGGCACTCTTCCATTAATTTTTGTGATTCTTGGTACAATTGGCTTTCTTGGAAATACTTTCACATTTCTCCAACGTAAACTTCGATCGAATACATTCTGCATCTATTCATTATGCGGTTCAGTCGTGGATGTAATCAATCTGTACACCAATCTTTTAATGACCTATATTGTTAAGGATAGCAGTAACTTGTCCAACATAACTAGCCGCACCGAATGCAAAATTAAGTTGTTTTTAGTTGTATTTTTGCCTCAATTATCAATGAACTTACTAGTTACATCGCTTATAGACCGTTTTAGTTGTACATGTAGTTTAACATCGCCAATACGCCGCATACGGCGATTAAAAATGGTGCCATATTTAGTGGTACTTACAATCCTGATCAGTGGCGTCATGTCACTTTATTCCCCCATGTTCTATGATTATGTACCAAATTCTGGATGCGTGGTTACAGATACATTATCGAATGGTACTTTGTATACTATTCTTCATGGTTTCATGGCGCCAATAATCATGTGCGTCTTCGTTTGGTTAACATATCGAAATATTCGACACAGTCGTCAAAGAGTAGTAAGTATCGTCGATTTTGATTATTTTTCCTCGAAGTTGTAATTTCATTTTTGAAGACAGTAGCTAATACTTCAGCTACTATCAGTCGATCTCGCCATCAATTTATCAGCACAGTGGTTACTCAAGTATGCGTTACAAGTTTCCTTATTTTACAATGGATTAGCATATATCTCTACTGGATTGTTACTAGAAATGACAATAAAACTGCCGACCAATGGGCGATCTTTTATTTCACTTTTTCTCTGTCCAATAATTTATATTATCTAATTAATGTCAAATCGTTCTACTTGTCCACATTAACATCACGTCTTTTTCGCCAAACGCTAATTAGAGGCTTGTCCAAAAACGTAGGTATATCAACAATCCAGACAGTGACTGCTGCACGAAGACAAACTATGCTTAACACTATTCAATAAAACACAATTAGAGAAACAGCATTAAACTATATACTACGTAGTTAAACATTTCTTTGTCGTTATTTGTCTCATGCATTATATTTCAAGATCTCAAGAAACTTTTAAATAGAAGAGATCCAAATGACTTACTTTACAATATATGATATCTATGAGTAGTGAAATTCAAAAGAATATGATTGAGTAGTATTTAGACCAATTGTGCGATACTTCATTTGAGATCACTTGTGACTCATTCGACAAGCCATGTCATCAACCATCGAGTATTTATAGTTATATACATCTTGAGCGTATTTACTTCAGATGCTTCAACAATGGTTTTGAAATTACGTGAACTTCTCATTAAACAAGTTGCAATTTATCTCCCGTACTTTTCCTATGACTCATGTCAATGTTTAACAGCAGATCAACGCGAACGTGTGCTCCGATGGCTCGTTTCACACGATTATCTTTCACCGACTATAGCTCCATACATAACCAAGAATCTCCTTTCAATTCCGTTGTATTCTCTCGAGTTTTATAAATGTGATCAATTAACGAATGACATGCTAATTGAAATTGGTCGAGCCAGTCATTTTAGCCGATTGAAATCACTTATTATTCACCAATGCAGTCAAGTGCAAGGTAAATTGATGTTCTCGAACGGCTCAGTTGTAGTCGTTTCTATATAGATTCAGGAGTGCGTGCTATAACCAAAGGACAATTATCATTGGAGTATTTGGCGTTGAGAAAATTGACTAATTTGACAAATGTTGGTCTTGATGGAATCCATTCAGCGTTTCTTAAAGAAATCGATTTTCGTTGGAATGAAAAAATTCAAGATCATGGAATATTTACGATTGTTTCAAATAATCTTAATCTACGTTCGATTCGTCTAGTTAACTGCCATGGATTAACTGGACAATCTGTCAATCATATCGCACAAAATCTCGCGGAAAAACTGGTTCGTTGTTCACCGGAAGCTTCAGCTTATTTGTTTCTTTGTTTATCAATAGGAAGTGTTGGACGTTGAAGGTTTGAAAACGTTAGATGCCGAAGTGTTTGTGCATCTAGTTGATTACTGTCCCAATATTCGAAGGTAAAAACTTTCCTTCATCGAAATTCAATCTGTAAAAACAAAATGATCTTTACCGCTTTCTAGTTTAAATCTGTTCGGTATAATTAATCTCGACGCTGACGGCTTATTCACAGTAAACTACTCGTTGACTTCGCGCTACATCTAACTTCATTTTCTTTCAGTTATTTGTTCGATCAACACGCATGATGCAACTAAATTTATCTTACACGACCTGTTTTCTTCAAGAACCTGTTGCCGACTATTTGTGTTGTTTACCATTGTCTCTAGTGGACATATGCCTATCGGGTACACAAGTTTATAGTACGAACATTCTCGTTCGTGCATTGACGCGATTGAAAAATATAGAACATCTTCGATTGAATGGTCTAGCAACGATCTCGGACGATGCCATAGAAAAAGTTTGTTTATATAGGTGAATAGGAAAATATCTTAAAGGGTATTTTAGATTCTTGCGGTTATTGGAGGCCGATTGAAAACATTAGAAATGAATGGTTATATCACTGTTGGATCGTTAACTGATCGTAGTGTGGAGCATATTGTTCGTTATTGTACGTCCTTAGAACATTTATCATTGAATCTGCTGAGTTTCACATCTACGCTTGATTCATTGTATGATCTATTCAGTTCGACAGAACGTGCGTTGAAGTTACACACCATCTCCTTGAGTTCATTTCGAAACGTAGGCTTGTTGAAATATACTAATGAGTTTTTATACTTTTGATTTAGATTAATGAACGTGTCCTATGGAGTTTGGTGGAAAATTGTTTGAATGTGACATTGCTCGAACTTTCTGGCATTCCATGCGTAAATGATTCATTGATATCTTCGTTAAAGCATTGTAGAAAGTTATCTCATTTGAATATCAAAGGATGCAAACAAGTAAGATGAACTTTTCCTATTCGATTTGGCGAAGATACACGCTTTAATTTAGATAACTGATCTATCGATATGTGATCTTCTTGGCGTATGTCGATTTGTTTCACTCGTGCTTTCTGGTTGTTATCAATTGACTGATAAATCGATATTAGCTTTGGCTCACACTCAACCATTCCTCGAAGAAATCTACATTTCAGGTTGTACTAGAATATCTCCCGCAGCAGTACGGTTCCTTCAAGACAATACCATTCGACGTTTGTATATTGATCATAAAATACCGAATGCATTGCCAGACGCTCTGATGGCGCGAAATCTTGATACAGGATTGTTCGAACAGGTGTAATACACATGACAAAATGAGCGTGGCTGATATATTTCTTATATTTGTTTATGTGTGATTTCGAGTGTTCAGTATGCCGAGTGAACTATGTTTTTCAATGACATGAGATTTATTTTTTGTTTAATCACTTTTTTTTACTCGTAACAGTTTAAATATTCATCGTTTGAAATAAAACTTGGAGTCGTCATGTATTGCTATGACTCGCGGATATACTCCAAAGTTCAATTTCACTGAGAATGTTTACTACAATGAGAAAAGTGAATCGTAAATTTGATGAGTAAAAAAAATCATTTGATTAATATCATATGTTTATAGCATACAAATTACTGTCATTGCCTTTTCCCACCGAAGGTTTTTTCTCCTAGTTTAAACAAAAGAGAAAATAGTCAGTACCTTGAGGAATCTGCTCGTGAAGGTGAAATGACGCGTGTCGTCGATAAAAATAGACAAGAAAAAATACTGTAAGGAGAAAAATGATGTTCAGTCCTGTGTAGTATCATTCGTTACTTAGTAGCTAAATAAGAACATGTTGGCAGCAGCAGCAGCGGCGAATCTAGCCGCCGGTGGTGACTCATCGATGCCGGGCAATTACGAACCATTTTTAGGGGGTCCACCACGTAACGGGCCACTATCAAATCCTCTCATGCCTCCTAGAAAAACACCCATACCACAGTTAAATACCCCTCGACCAACCATTGCACCACCAATAGGTGGTTTACCAACACGAACACCATTCGGACGTCTTCCTCCAGCCTCCGGACTGCCAATGAGAGGTCCACGTGTTAGGCCACTCGATCATCCTATCAGAGTTCGACGACACCGACGCCGACCATTAACACCAGAGATTGTGGTAGAACGTCGATCTCGCCATCATTCGTCTTTTGGCCGACGCCGTGTGATTACAGTTCCACTTGATTGTCGTCCAACACTTGGCTTACGTGGACCACCAAGTCGAGTACTAGAAATTGAACGTGTTCGATGTTTTCGTTCTCGTAGATGTCGTTCGCCCTGCTACGACTACGAGTATGACGATCATGATTATTCAGCTCCATCCCTTCCACCACCAGCGCAACAGCCACCTCCTCAGCCACAGCCAATAACATTTGTTGCTAATCCAATTCCAAATCCTTGTTTATCATTTTCCAATCACACAAACGTTACAGCTACATCAGCACTACTTACTAATCTAACCCCAGAAATACTTCAAAGTTTGCCGAAACAAACAGTGCGCTTGGATCCTATATATCTTCCAGGTAGTCACGCTGATGCCAATACTGAGCTTCACACAGTCAGATTCCCCACAGAAATAATTAATCCAATCACCGGAGCTCTTTCTATCATTCAAGCAAATCCTTCCGCGAATGTTGTCGGTATTGCAAGTATTCCTAATAATGTTACAGCTACAATGACTAATAATGCATCCGTAGCACCTGCTAGACCGCCATTGTTGTCGTCAACGGCTGTCAATCCTACCATGCAACGATTTCGTGAACTCTTTCAACGTTTGAGTCTTCCGAAAACACAACCAATGGGGCCAACAGCAGTACCGAGAATATCTGGATTCAATCCAACAAACAACACAGTGCCTAATCCGCCGACTAATCTACCATCGGTCAACTCATTAAATGAAAATCGCAGTCCATCCGTTGGTGACCGCCCTGTGAATTCCGTAAGTAATGAGTCGTATCAACCACCAAGCATTTCACCTTATCGTACGACAACTTTTACACCGTCGAGATCCGCGAACAACATGTCGTATCGTCCAATAAATAACACACTCCCTAATTCGTCCAATGTTGGTCCGTATCGTCCAGCAAATATTACACCTTACAATCGAACAAGCACAAACCAATATCTGAGTGTCAATCGGCCGACACAGCCATCTTTTACATCAGGAGCAACTCCATATGCTTCTACTGCTTCCATAACACCTACCAACTCTTTCACATCTCCTCCTGATCCACCTAGAAATGATTCGAATTATCAAGATATATACTCATCTTCACCGTCACTACCCATGAGTTCGTTTCAACCCACTAACTCGATGCCAAAATCAATTCTTCGTAATGGTCCATCAGCCAATCTTTCGAGCACAACCAACACACGTTCAAACTCACCTAACACTTTCCCTGCGAACGAGACTGTTCAGAAAACAACACGATTTGTGTAGATTCAATGTTTCCCTCAAAAATGACTGCGAACTTTTTTTCTCAGTATGCATGTAGACTATGAAAGCGAATCTGTAAAGTCATCGATTGACTTTTCATTACAAGAATATTTCAAAAATATAACCATGTGCATTTCACTCCCTTCCATTATTTACATAGTTACGAGTACAATCCGATCGTTTCATTGCCCTTGTGTGCAAGAGCAACTAGCTATTCAAATATGAAATATACCCGTTTATATCCAGCAAACATTTTCGTTGCTCTTCGAATGATATCAATCGCGCAACGATAAGATCGATTTGAATTTCGTTGTTTTTTATTTTCACAACCGCATATTTTCTTCCACACAGATGTGCGATGACATCGAAGCAACCAGAGTTTATTTCTTTGTTTTTGCTCGTTTTACACTTTGCTTCTTCTATTGAGAGAAGAAAGATTCCGACGAACGTATCAATAATAATAATCATCATCATTCAAAAACATATTGAAACGAGAGCGATCGCTCCTTGATGGCAGTTCGAAGGAGTTTTTCACCGAGTCTAAAGGCGAAACTATATCATTCCGATGGATATTCTTTCAAAAATTGCCTAAATTATGATTTCGAAATACAACAAACGCCACCACTATCATTACAGCAATATGCTCGATCGATCGCTCCTATTCCTGGTGCTGACCCATGGGTCTACACATACAAACGGAAATATTCCATACCAACTTACTCTCTCAAACCATACAAAGATATGAAACCTAAGCCACATGAATCTATCTGGCATCCAGTTAGTCCATATCGAGAAAAACCACCCACATCACTTAGTCCGGAAAAACGGTGGCAGAGATCTGTACGTGAACCTATTTGGCAACCTAGCAGTACTATTCAATACAAAACAGTTCCTTATTTCGATCCGCCTGCTTTGCGATGGTCACTTCAACAAATTTTGAAATCTCTACCGAATCCTCAGGCAGACACGTTCGATCCCTCGAAAACCATTTTAATATCCAAGAAAAGAAACATTTGAAGGTATTTTCACGCTTATGACTCATAATTTCTTTTCAATATAAACATTATTCAATTTCGAACAGCAAAATCTGATTAGTAAATGTCATCAAATATATACAATATATCTCACGAGACGGAGTAAACTCTTTGCTCATCGACTATTATTAGCTTTTTATAGAGGAAATGAAATGCCTCCAGTCAGATCTAATCAAGTAATAAAAATCCGAAGAATATTTATATTGGCCTAAAATAACCATTCTCTTTCAATGACATATCGAAAAAATCTTTCATCTAATCAACATGATCGTAGACGAATATGCACGGTTGTCATGATAAGTATGTCTGTCTGTTCACATCGATATCTCAAAAAAACAATGGCGAGAGAAGAGAATTGTAAGCAAGTAATCAAACTTATTTTTGTTATCTTTTCATCTCGTTTGTCATTGTCAATCGATGAAGAGGCTTGTTTCGATTTCGAGTAATAACAATGTTTGCTTCTCTCGCTCTCTCTCGTCGCGCTTTTATTTGATTAATCCAAGCAGCCAGACGCAAAATGGAATAAGATTCTTTTTAAAAGACACTCGAATTCCTATCCAAATCATTCCATAAATGGTGATTAGCACTACCACTATTCTCCTTTTACATCAATTATTAATGTTCTAAGTTAAATGAATACTATTCTTTGTGCATACGTGTATATATATATATAATCATACAAATGGAGTCTAATTACACTTTCTGATATAGTAGAATAGGCAATATAAGTAAATCTTCAAGGCAATATTATGATTGATATGAATATCAACAAATCCGTGTTCGTTGTAAATCTCAAGGTGCTTTTTCATAATGAATTCAACTGAATCAATAGCGTAATCTGAGATCAAAGAGAATCAAGCCAAAATGGTAATTTTGACACATCGTACAAACATTTATGTATGAAAAGGTGGGTCGAGCGAAAGTAGAAGACGAAGATAATAAACATATGTACACAAATACAAAAGAATGAAACATAATATCCTCATCTCTGTCTATCATCAAATGTCGACAGAGAAATCGAAACTCAATGAGAGTTGCTTCAATTGATTAACATCCGGCTAACATTCTATGCATGAACACTTCACTTCCACATCATTGCATTCAATCTATTGTGAGTTGAAATGAAAGAATGGAAAATGCACGAGGTCAGCCAACATGACCAGCTTTTCAACATAGATTTCTCTTCTCCATTTTACCTGATAAATAATGAATGNTTTTTCTATCCTTGAGAGACGCATCTCTCATATTTGTATGAAAATAACCTTGTACGCTATCGACTACAATGCATGCTATTGTATGTTCAATACTTGTAATTAACTTTGACGATCGCCTTGTTCATTTCACAGAAGAATGAAAATAATCGTTCAATGTGTCGCATACCTTTTCATCTCGATGATTCTTTCATGCTACGTTAACTTAATCATCTCATTAGACTTTCTCTTCGACTTTTACTTTAGTTTGTTCTCTTGGAACATTCAAGTCCACGGTCAGTAATGAACAACGTTGCGAACAGTGTCCATTGAATAGCCATACGAAAGAGAAAGGTTCAACATCTTGCATTTGCAATCAAAGTTTCTTTCGTTTGAATTCATCCGTTATCAATTCATCGTGTATCGGTAAGCGATAGTCTTGTGTCTTAGTACGATATTGGAACTGTTTTATTGAATATAAATATAGCCGGACCGAATGAACCAGAAAATGTAACGATTGATGATATTGATCAAGTTTCAGTTTATATCTCATGGAAGCAGTCCACTGATAATGTATACCATATTGAATGTACTCATACGATATCTTGTGAGTCGTATATAATCTATCAGCCCAACCGAACGTTTATCAATGGGTCAAGGTAAGGCGTGTTTGAAGTTTTCGATAATGTCTTTGAGAAGAAGATTTTCAGAGTAAAGATCATTGGTTTGGACGCCGAGACGAAGTATAAAATAAGAATCTATGCTGAACAAGTTTTCACTCATCTTTACAGTCAATCGGTTGACTTAACATTCACAACAAAATCAGCAGGTATTGTGAACTTAATTGTTATCTCTCCTCAGAGACAAACTGAATCTTTGCAGTTCCAAAACAAGTACGTAATATTCAAATTCGTCGTACAGCATTCGATCAAGTTGTCATTACATGGTCAGCAGATGATTTCAATCAGTACCATATCCGTTACTGGCCACTCATCGCTGAACAGAATAAGATTTTTGCTGAAGTCGTAGTAAATAATTTCACTTTAAAGACAACATCAGATATATATAAATTTCAAATACGTGCTCATACGAAACTTGGCTGGACTGCATATAGCGAAGAAATGATTATATCATTACGTTCAATATTCATCGATCAGCCATTCTCTTCTGAAGTGACGAGAAAACTTGTGGAAAATAAAAATATTCTTCTCATCAGTCCTTTGATCATTCTTGGATTGATTATAACAGTGATTATTCTAGCAGTTCTGTACATCAAAAAGTAAGAAAACGATTCATAAACGCATGGAATATACATTATCTTTTTAGGAAACGAGTTTGTCGGTCGAAGACAGCGAGCGATTGTGAATCTCTCGATTACCAAAAACGACAAGGTTCGTATCACAGTGTATCACTATCCACTATTGTCTTTCTCTTTAGTTAGCGGACATTATGGGCCTGATACTTTCTTCAATTCAGGATGTACGTATCCAATATGAAAGATTATCACATCTATATCTTACTCGGATTCGTTCCAGGGTCGGCGCCATTATGGCCTTCCATAAGTACAACAACAAAGACTTATGTTGATCCCCATACGGTCTGTATTCTAATTTCATTGACACAATTTCATCTAATCCTATTTCTCTTTTTTTTTCAGTATGAAGACCCGACAAAAGCAGTGAATGATTTCGCACATGAACTTGATCCGAACTCGATTGTTATCGAATCGGTCATCGGCGGAGGTATATATCAACTTGAATTACATTCGATTATATAATTGACTTCGTTTCTCTCATACTCGATTGTCTATTGTGAGAGAATCATCACATCATAGATCATCTTACATGTGTACATCATCATCAATTTTCTATGTTTTCTCTTTCTTCTATTCGAGGCGAATTTGGTGATGTCTGTCGAGGCAGATTACGGAAAGGCAATTCGATGAAAGATATTCCAGTCGCAATTAAAACATTAAAAGCAGGCGCAACAGAAAAGACTCGTCTGGATTTCTTGTCGGAAGCGAGTATCATGGGTCAATTCAATAATGAAAATGTCATCTTTCTCGAAGGTGTCGTTACTAAGCATCATCCCATTATGATTATTACAGAGTACATGGAGAATGGGTCATTAGACACATATCTTCGAGTAAGTCGATTGACGTTGTCAAAGAGAGAAAGAGATGTATTAGGAAAATTCTTTTAGACAAACGAAGGAAAGAAATGTCTGGATACGTTACAATTAACACGTATGTTACGTGGCATTGCTTCCGGAATGAGATACTTATCTGAAATGAAATACGTTCATCGAGTAAAGTGAAACAGAAAATGAGAAAAGAACAAGTTGTGGAGGTTGATTTTCTTTTTTTCTCTTAGGACTTAGCAGCACGAAACATTCTTGTCAACAAAGATCTCGTTTGTAAAGTAGCGGATTTTGGTTTAAGTCGAGAGTTTGACGAAGGAGAAAGTTATACAACCAAAGGTGGAAAGATCCCCATACGATGGACAGCTATTGAAGCAATTGATTATCGAAAATTTACATCGGCATCTGACGTGTGGAGTTTTGGTGTATTATGCTGGGAAGTGGTCTCGTTTGGTGAACGACCTTTCTGGAATTGGTCAAATCAAGATGTGATTAAAACAATCAAGAACGCCTACCGTCTTCCGCCGCCTATGGTTCGTTGATAGAAAAGCAAATAGGAGCGTGTAGCTGTTAAAATTTCTTTCACGTTTTGCAGGGTTGCTCAGATGTGCTTTATCAATTGATGTTAGCCTGTTGGAACGATAATTATTTGCAAAGACCCAAATTTTGTGACATCGTTCAACAATTGACACAATTCATCCAAGCACCGAATGTTTTAATTCCATTAGCAAAGCAAAAGTAAGAAATGTTGAATGACATGAAATAAATCGCGACTGATTAGATACATTCACATGATTTTCTAATATCACGAATGCGATTTCTTTTGATTGACTACGACCGGAATTGAACAACGTCTAGCGATGATTAACACGCACTGTAAACTTCCGAGACAACCTTGATGGAAACAAAATTACGTCAGCATTCTTCTTATCTAATCACATCTTTTGCTTTAGATTCGTCTTCGTTAATCATCCAGATGAACCAAATCTTGCACAACTAACATCAGTCACTGATTGGCTACATAAACTTCAGCTTGACCGGCTACTACATTTATTCCTCAATCTTGGTTACACCAATCTTTCTCAAATATGCCATTTTAATCTATCAGATCTCAAAGAATACCTTGGTAATCACGTGACAATCGACGAACAAAATCATCTGATGGATAGTTTAACTCATCTACGATCCCAACTTGTATTGATCTCTTCGAATTCATTGATCACTAGTGAGGGCTACCTTGTCTAAATGAACAACAGTGATTTTCTGACGAGTTTAAACTGCCTATGTAATCAACTCTAGTCAAAAGTTAAGTCGCGTATTCCAAAACGTATTCACGCGATGATTTTCTCTGGTGATGTCACATTGTATATAAAACAAAACGAATTTGAAACTTTCGATGTGTGTATTCAATCGTCTGTTGTTTTTTAGGCGTCTTTTTCTCTTTTTCGATATTCTTCTTGTTCGAACTTATATTTGTAAAAGAAAACTATTCAACATAAATGATTCGTGATATCGATGGAAATAGCTATTGATTATTTATCTAATGAGTAGATTGAGTGCATTTTGAAGAGTCATGTTCAATGAGTAAAATCAGTGCTGAATGAATAAGAATGATGTACGATGAAATAGCATCATGATGGAAATGCACAGACTAAATATACTACTGCTTTTGCATAGAAATAAACGTCAGGTGACGAGACGGAATTTATAACGTGATTATCTTTCATTTAATAATGATGCTTTTCTTTTTCTCTATTGATGAAAACGAGCAAATAAACAATAAAATATGCTAATGAACAAGCACAAGAAAAATAATTCCTCCAATTGCTATTAAATATAAGAATATTCATAGATGTGTATATATTTACCATAAATAGACATAGTTTAGATGATGCGACTCTTGCGATTTCGTGCTAATGCTTCGGCTATGTAAACTGCCATGCCAACAAAAGCAATCACTGAGGCAATAACAGCGCCTATAGAAAAGGAATACGTGACATGGGTTAATTTCGAAGGCAACAAAAAGGGAACGGGTCATCTTACTATGCTGATATGCATTGTATGGAGCAGCACTATACCAACGACTTGCGACAATGGCTGCTCCAACGCCGAAAACAAAGAGCGCAATAGCTGCAGCAAATGCATATATTGTTCGAAGACGATTCAGTGGAGCAACGGTTCCGTCTGTTATCATTAACTGTTCGATTAAGAGGAAGCCAGTTAAACATAACACTACACATTCAAAAGAGAGAAGAGACAAAATTTCCATTTGAAACTATCGTTAGTATCACTTACATAGAGGAAATATGATCGAATAGCTTATTCGATAAGCAGAGAAAACTTCGTTCACTGGATGATTAACGTGACAATGTATAACACCGACAAGTGTAATTACACAGGCTATTGCCATTAGAATAATAATCGTACGTCGAAGGTCCATTTCACAGTTAAACACGAAACTAAACTGCCTTCGATGAAGAATTGATTGCGTTTGCAAGTTTATTTCCTATTCGAAACACTCAAACTACTTTAGTACTCAACTATAGGGCACTTTCGCTTTCACCGAGAGATATACAAATAGACCAACAAGTCTAAATAAGAAGAAAAAGCGAGATAGACAGAGATAGATGTATAAGCTTTATGTTCTTTTATCAATCTTGTCTTGTTGACGGCAAGAATACATATCTATCGAATCGATCGTAGATTAATCAAACATACGATAAAGCGAATACATTTCTTCGAATGTAAAGATCTTTCGAAAGAAAATAACTTTCTTTGTTAATCATATTTGAACATCACAATGTAATAGTCGATTCTAATGAGAGAGGACGAGAGAGATGAGAACAAGCAATAACGATGTTTAGAAATCGACTTGAGCCAGAACATTTTCACATTCAATGAGATAATCTCCAAATAATTACTATTTTCGTAAATACACATGTTACTAATTCTCAATGCAAATACCGATAATCGATGTCGACGAGCAAAAGAAGCTTTTAAGAACATGTGTGATCGTTGGGTTCGATGCATTTATAGCGCTATTTATGTGTATAGTATGTCATCAAGAGACTTATGTCAGTTATGAGATAGACGAACTCTTCCTCTCGTAACCATGAAAATAGCAGTATATACAAAGGATAAGAAGATTTATTTATAGAAACGAATTCGAATGATGTAATTCCATTGTTTATCACTTGCGAGTATTTCTAATTGTTTTTATTGATGATTTGAAATCATTTTATTCATATTAACCAACTAAACATATATATATACACAAAGCACAGAAATTGATTGATTTCTAAAATATCGCCTAATTTCCCAAGAAATTTATCGTTGCATTTTAATACAAAATGTGGTAATAATCATCGACATGCTAGTTGGTGTATGTACATCTAATGAACTTTCAACAAACAACAAAAACAACTGTTCAACTGAACATACATTTGGACAGAAAGGACAAGAAAATGAACAAGTATGTTAATCTTTGTCGTCGCCATCATCTGGATCTTCGATAATGTAATCAGTAGAATCAATTTGTTGTTGTATTGTTTGATCGTAATTTTGCATAATATCGACAAGATAGTTTGGAGTTGTTTCAGCATTGGACAATAATTGTGGATGTTGCTGTGCTTGTTGCGTTTGCATGTTGAGAAAACAAAATTTTATCAAATAGTTGTTACTATGGTTCGGATCACGAACTAAACCAAATGACTGATCGAATACTCCTATGCATGTACCATGTTGATGGATTGTACCATGAATTTGTATCAGAACAAGGCCGTGTTGGGATTCTTCAACTTTGTTTGACTGAGGATTGGGGCAGAAACGTAATTCTTGATTGGTTACGTAAGCACGTAGGATATCACACACATAATACGAGCCTAAAACTCGACGATTATTCTCATGAATGAGAGTTAACTGACAGTCCGGAAAGAAATGATCTGACGTAAATGTTGAAATGCTGTTCCACGAAGTGTAGAACCACTCAGTGAATTGATGAGATAACTGGCTGTTACCAGGCAGCTTATTTGCTGGGACAATGCTGTTATTGTTATTGTTGCTATTATTATTAGCTATTGCTTGACAACCATTGTTCCAAAAATCGATGATCTGTTTGACAAGTTTAACCTAAATTGAAAAGATGCCTTGAACGAGAGTAAAACACGCGACGATGTGTGAAAATGATGTCAAATAAGGATTTGTTTCTTTCGTGAGACGTCATTGAATGTTTACATACCTTATCAGTGCCTGGACCGACAGGAATGGACTTTTTCGCTAAATATTGCATGAGAATATCTCTCCGGATCTTCTTTCGTCGTAACAATTCCATCGCTGATTGTGAACATTTCAAACAAGCATCAATCGCCTCCGAACGCTGCAATAGAAAGAAAATGAATACAGAGACATTCACACGAAAACGATACGATTCGCACTTACGGATTCAGTGGATATCATAGATTTCGTAACTGTATCTTTAACTGACATCAATTCGTCATCAGTTAGCATTGACAGTAATTCTTCGGCTCCTCTTTGTTCACAGGTGTTCATATCTAAAAATAATTAACCAATTAAACGACAGGAAGAAAGAAAAACAAAATCATAATTTGCTTTTATTCTTATTAAAATTTAAAAACCAGCCCATTCACTTTTCATTCTCGTCTAACCCAAATGACCGGATAGGAGAAAAGAAAACTTGTACGAATATAGAATATATAGAGAGAGAAATATGAATGTATATATAACATAGAATTCACAAAAGGTGAAGAAAAACAACGAAGATATGGTTAATGTTTAAAGAAAAGAAAAATGAAGAAGCAGATCACAATTGAAGACGAACATAGATATATGAAGAACGAAATAGTCATTCATTTCAAAATTCGATTGCCATTTATTTCGAGTAATACACACGGTAATAGAGTGTTTTCGAACGCCATAATGAATAGCTATTGTCAAATTTTAGTAAATAAACTCCTTGACCGGGATATGAGTGACTACCAGCATGAACTTCTTCGTGACAATCGCGACGATATATGGGAACGATTTCATCTTGAGGTGGTTTCGGAGGTTTGTTCGTACTTCCACTTCCTTTTTCTATATCCTTCTTCTCCGCTACAAATGTTCAAAGGAAAAATTACATCCATATGTTATGTCAAAGTGAATACGTACGATTTGCTCCATCTTCGTTTTCTTCTTCATCGCTGGAATCGCTTACATGAACAGTGACAGTGTTTGTTGCCGATTTACTCCATTCAAAATAAACACCGAAGCCGAGATCGTAGTAATCAGTGGCGAATTCCCAAAATATGCATTGACCATCTTCATGTGTTGGGACGCGCACCTGAAGTTTAATCGGTTAATTGTATATGAAAAGAAGCAAAGAAAGCTTTTCTTTTAATTAGGAAAGAAAATCTCTTAATAAGTTTATTCTGTTGGAATTCTTTATCCTACTTTTCGAATGACATATCAGATTAAGAAAAGACTAAAACAAGACTTACTGTGACTGTTTCACCACTGCCAACTTTAATTACGGCATCCTTTTCTTTACGTATTTGTTCTTTGAATTCTTTAAGATCTTTTCTTGTCCACATGTTTGCCGGAATTAGTTTTGGGGCTTCTATTTTTACATAATAATTATGAAAAGATGTTTATTAACACGATAAGCTTTAATACATACCAGCATTTTCTGTCTCCGCCGGTAAAACTAGCTCGCCATTTGCACCAACGACTGGTGTTGTAAGTGCCTGACCATCGACGGCGTCGGAGTGTATAGTAGCTGATTCGTTATTGATCGGTGTTAATGGAAATTGTTGGTGTGGCAGCTCGGTGCCAACTGACGGTTGCGAAGGAATGTGTGTAATCGGCTCCAATGGGGTGTTGAGGGTCAGCGTTTCAAATTGAGTTTGAATGGGGGGCATTGGTTCTAGTTTGATTTCTTGAGCCGCGACCTGACTAGTTGAAGGTGATTGAAACGGCATTATTGGCGGAGGAGGATGTGCCAAAGGTGGTAAGTGGTGAGGAACAGGACCAACAGGTGACATATGTTGAAAAGGAACATTGGACGCTGGTGGTGGAATAATGGTCGACGGCGATGGGAGATTCGCTACTAATGGTGATGAAACTGCATTCGTGGGCGATGTTGCTGTGGGTATATTAGCTTGTGGTGGTTGAACGATATTGAGTGAAGTTGGTGGTGATACCGGGCTCATTGCTGGGGGCGGAATTATATTCGTTGCTGGTGGAGGGATTATTGCCATCGGTGGTGGTGATGCCTCGACATTCGTTGGTGTTAATGGTGATGAGGATTGTCCCATTGATGGTATCACATTTTCCACTGGCAGTTGTTGTTCTGTATTCATCTTCTTAAAAGCAAATTCAATTTAACTTTCGCAATTAGAAAAAATAGTCGTACATTCTGAAATTGTTGTTGTTGATCAATTAATTGTTGTTGATAGACTTGTTCCATGTACTGTTGAAAATGTTGTTCTTGCAGTTGACGAATTAATTCTTCTTGCTAAAATTAGACTTTCGTCATAAACATCTCCAAATTCACTAGATAAACTGACTGCTTGTTTGTTGTCTTTGTATTGTTGTTCGGCGTACGCTTTAAACTGCGAATACGTTTGTTGACTGAGTACGTCTTGGATTTGCTTTCTGAAATAATATTCATTTTCGAAAAGGACTAATTTTGGAAAGTAAATTTACCTTTGAAAATCTTCTCGTTTCTTCTGCTGCTTCTCTAAACGTGAATAATGTGCTAATTCGTATTGTCTGACGCGTTCAGCTTGTTCTTCTAATTCACGACGAGTTTCATCGTTGCTTCTAGATGAGAAAATGATCGTTTCGAATAGTAAAAGATAACTTCCTTCTCTGTGAAAAAAGGTGCTGTGTTCACAAACACGTTATCAATATGATTAAATATGTAACTTCTGGTTTGTTGAGAAATTTAATTAAGAAACGGAATGAACAAGAGACGTCAAAGGAAAGCTATATGTGTGTGTGTGTGTGTGTGTGTGTGCGAGTTATCTTATGTTCATAATTTTGACGAATAGAAAAGCAATTTGCTCAACTTTCTTTTTTTTCCTTCGTGTTGAAGAACAACAACCGACGTGATAGAAACAAAGAAAAAAGATGAAGAGGAAAACTCGAAGCTCACGGAAAATTTTCATCTTTCTTCTCTTACGCTTTATGTCCTTTGGAGCAGATTAATTCTAGATGCAAGTATATTATGGCAGATTCGCGGGGAGCAGCTCTGTCTACATTATTTTCTTTCATTTTGAGCTCATCGACTGAGAGAAAGAGTAAAAAACGGCCGGTTAGACCAAGAGGATAATGAATGCAGAAAAACTAGACAGATAATAACACGAACGTGCAGCGAGTAAAAGGACGAGTCTTATCATTGGCTTCCGACAGGTATGGCAAAAGAAAGAAGAAAAACTGACGAGATGTCGAGGTATTCAAAGAGTCTGTTATTTAAAAAAAGTTTCCAGCTGAAAACTTTCAAATAAATTTGCAGTTAAGATGATGAACAAAACTTGCTTTCCTTTTCCTTTCCTTACCCGATCTGATCTGGCGCGTCACTTGCAATCTGTTGCGATGTGATATAAGATCGAAACGATACACATCGCTCTAACAATAATTTCACATACTCTTCCATTGCTTGTTCTTTTGACATATTTCCTAAGGCAATCCATGCTTGTCTTTGCAAAAAAAAAGAGAAGAAACAAAAGATTTTATCAGAAAACCAAATGATATTTCACTCACTTCCGATCATTTCCAACGACATCAAGAAATCCGACATCTTGTGTATGAGATGCATCCCATTTACCTATTTTTGCTTGCTTCGACAACGCAATCAAACGTATGTTATCGCCATACTTTAATTGAACATCACTACTTCCTTGTTTTTCTAAAAGAAAATGTCAACATAATGATATTCGGTACTTCACCGAGTCAAAGATACCTTTTAGAAATTGTCTAGCCATATAAAATAATTTTTCGAGGGAAAAACCAAATTGATCCAGAAGACTCACTGATTGCGATGCTTCTTTCATAGTGGTTTTCGTCATACTAGGTGGTGGTACGATATTAATTTGACCTAAACAGTTTCCGGCGAGAATTTCATCATAATATAATGCCATGCATGTACGAAGTAGAGTTGACCGGTCGATTGTGGTGGGATGAGGCGACGACACAAAACGCGTCGAGAGACCAATGGATGGACCAATGAGATAACCAATAAGAAAAAACGTTGCCGTTGGAGGTTAAATATTGATTGTCATGTCGACTAATTAGTTCTCATTGGCTTACAATGCGTTTCGTTTTATGAGTGAGTGTATCTCACGAAGAAGGAAAGGAAAATATGAAATTTTGGATGAAGAGGAAAGAGAACGAAAGAGCGAAGAGATCTCGAAAATGATGGTGTACATTTTGTTTTGTCTACATGAAAATTATGGAGAAATAAAGGACAGAAAGAAAGTGTAACTCGATAGAGAGTCATATAAAAGAAGAAACTCGTAATGAGATGTAAAATTCACTATTGAAAACGAAATGTCGCGACTAATCATAATCTTGAATGTATAATAAACTTCTTACAAATGTCAGCGTAGCAGCCAAGCGTTCAGAATAAACCAGGGGACGAATTTGAAACAGTTGTGTAATTGTGTTGTTTCATTGTGCGTCACGAACACAAATGTATCCTTGATGTTTATTGAAAAATATCAAAATAAGTATGACAGTGTACTTTATCGGCTTACTCGTGATTACCTTTTGTCCTTCAACTTAATTATGAAGTTTATTTTTTTGTTATTTTACACCCGAACTATGACAGATATTGCACAAATATAACTGTCTTCACTGTTGCTTACCGGTTCGGATGAGAAGGGTGTGGAACAAGTCATATTGTTATGTTGTTTTCAATAACTAATTGCGCGCTTCAATCTGTGTAACATATAAAACGGGGACAGATATGACTTTCCATAGTGCATTATTATCCATAATTTTATTGTTTATCATACAATGCTACGACTTGGTTCTCTTCTTTGTTGTTTACTATGTTGGTATCTGATTGGACACGTTCGTGGACACGGTTATCTTGCTGACCCGCCAGCCCGTAGTTCGGCATGGCTATTCGATAAGGCGTTTGATCAGTGTTGTCGATACTATAACCATGCGCAGATGTTCTGTGGAGGAACATATCATCAGTGGACTGTGAATGGTAAATACCATGTCATCTCAGCAATATCTTAGAAAACTTGTACATTTATAGGTGGCAAATGTTCTATCTGTGGAGAAGCATATGATCTCAAAGACAAACTATTCGATTTGGGTGGTAAAATGTACTTGGGTAAAATTGTACGGACATATACTCAAGGTGCTACGATACCGGTGACAGTTGTCGTAAGTTCACTCGAATGGCGAATACACTTGTATCTTTCTTTTGTTTTTCAGTTAACAGCAAATCATTTAGGTGTGTTTGAATTTCGTGTCTGTAATATCGATAATGATCCAAACCAGGATGCTACACAAGCATGTTTGAATTTAAACCTTTTGAATGTCACCATTGAGACGTCACCAACAGGTGTCGATCGCGAATCAACGCAGTATCCAGTTAGTCGAACATCAGCGACTGTACGTTTGAATGTTACACTTCCCTCCAATCTCGTGTGCAAACATTGTGTCTTTCAATGGAAATATCGAACAGGTAACAGTTGGGGCTCGTTCAATGGCAAAGCATGTCTTGGTTGTGGAAGAGAAAACGAAGAGTTCTTTGGTTGCTCGGATATAGCCATTAGGAGTGCGAACGAATCTGCTCAAACTGAAACAACAGAAGCAGTTATCGAATCATCCAATATAACAGCACCAACTTCAGCACCAGTTGCAGAAACAACGGCAGTATCCGAAGTCTCGCTGCGAAAATGTCGCTCAACAGCAACTTTTAGTGAAACATTTGATTTAAGCTCGATCATGAATAAATATTGTGAAACAGTCTGCTCCGAAAATTGTTCTTCGGACAAGATACTTGGCAATTCGGTGCTCTACGAAGCATGCGTAGCCACATGTGGTAAATTATGTGTTTGCGAGTAGAAACAATGTATCAATTGCAAAGCACATTTTAGTATATATGTATAAATGCCTTTTTTTGCATCGAAACGCGCTCTATACACTGATAAATTGTTTTCACATTTTTATTCGCAATAAATCTATCAACTTACTCATACATCTTCGAACATAAATCATCAATTATCTAAAGGGGTGGATATGGGCGTGCATTGAAAATAGATACATTTCTCTCACATTCACACGCATGCATTGAAGACTTTGTAAAGTAGCGTCATTTTTCTTGGTTTCTGTGAAAACTAGCGAATATCCATGTGTTGTTGCGATAAAATTTTAATGAGAAATCGTATCAGTCTAGAGTGCAAAAAACGTTTCGTGAGAAAGAACACACGCTCATTAGAAATGCGATCTTACGGGAAACAGAATCTCTTCATTTCATCGATATGCATGAGTACATTCTAAGGGTGAGTCGAGCAAAATTGCGATGCGTTCTTCGAAATCAATAGAATAGTCTATGTATTTGTTGAGCAATAGACTTGTTTAATTTCCTAAGAAATGTTTTCCTGTGACTGTTTACCTCCGTTGATCAATATTTTCCAATCGCTAGCTCCGACATCAGATGTCAACAAACGATTGAATAAAACTGAAGTTTCTTCGTCCGATAAGACCATTCTATTGTTTGAAGCGGAAACTTACAAACATCGCTTGCCATTGCCGGCTACTGTAAGTCAACTTTTTCTCAACTAATTCTCCAGTCGTATCTGGCATGTAGTTAAGAGCTATTAGAAATATACCGTTCGTTCGAATGTCATACATGATTGGTGCTGTGACTTAAGACTCGGAACCCGATAAAGATATTTATTAGTTTTCTTCGGCGAAAAAAATCAGGAAATATACATGAAAGACAAGTTAAATTGATGGATAAGTTCTTTGAAGTGTGGGAATTTGTATAAGATTTGTAACCAACCGATCGATCGACTGATCTGCATCATTATCAATTAGCAGTGTCGGTGGGTAATAGAGTGACAGTTGAGGAAATAACGTGCGAAGTAATGTCCAAACATTACTGCGTAGTGTTGTGAGACTAGTTTGATGTAAACATGGCGAACGTTCGGAGTTATCTATTGAGCAGCTACTATGCGGACGGGAAATTTGCGTTTTACTAGGAAAAAAATCAGATGCGATTGATATCGTATGCTTTCGCAACTTACACGAGGGATTTTTTTTCATCAGGCATGAGAATTTTATCAGTTAGAAAGCATGTCGAAAACGTTGATTTAGGATTGTTTAATTTATCATCGTCATCTTTGTCTATTTTTATTAGTGTTGTGTCCAGCCGAGGCCGTTTTGTTTCTGACAGCATCAAACGAGATATACTATGCTGCCGTTCATGTTTCGACATATGTCTGTGAAAGAACGAGAAAAAAACACATAGTTTAAAAAAAAATTCATTTCAGTGCAAACTTGCCAACCTTATGTTAATGGTTGAGTAATTACATTTTTGACAACGGATAACGCGATTATTTAAATGACATCTCTAAAAGAAAAGAAAATCTTGACGACAAACGAGAAAATCAAGTGAATGTGAATTACAATATGACAATCATATTTGGACTTTAATAATGTTGCGTACGAACACAGATGACATTGTCGAACATTGACACCTAGCTCGCCATGTTCTTGGAAGAGATGTTCGCGAAAATTGTTGATGTCTTTGAATGTTCGAGTACATTGACTGCATATGTGAGGTAATTTCAATGATTCATTGACAGATGATCTTCGCGCGAACAGAGGCAAAGAAAATTCACTTTGATTAATTGAATAATCGACTTACGAGAGTGGTTTTTCTATTACGAGAGAGTTCATTGATGGAACAAATCAATATTTACCATGAACTAGAATAAAAAAACGAAAAAACTTCAATGTCGATGTCGTCGAACGAACCTGTTCATCAGTTTTTCGCTTTTGGCATTCGTTAAAATAAATAGCTTCGCACGCTTTCTCCTTTCTTTGTCACTTTGATTAGCGTCGGCAAATGTGGTCAGACTAGGCAATATATTGACGAAGACGATGACGACGATTACTATTTTTACATAATTTCTTGCGTATTGTTTTATGTCAATAGACATGAGAACGATGCATAGTGCAAGTGTGTATGTATGTATGTGTCAGCATTTACGTAACCCATTAAGAAAGAGCGACGGATTGTGGCAATAGATAGATGAATGTATACATGTATGTCATCGTTCGATCCTTCGTTACTTTTCTTCTCCCCTCCGTCTACTCTCGTTTATAATTGTATGTAATTTGACCAACACGTAAAGAAATCACCAATATGAACAATTTATGGCTTGATGAAACATTCGTTTAAAAAAAGATTTGTTAATCTGTTCTTGATGATGATCATCATTTCGCTATTTTCCAAAACATGAGTGTCGATGAGAGAGAGAGAGAGACGATGCACTCGTTCAAGTATCTGTATATTTTTCTAAACAGTTAATCAAATCATCGAAGTTCGAAGAAAAGGAGGCGGAAGGCAATGTCATCATTCAATAGAAATCTATTAATGATTTGTCGTTTTTAGATTCTTTGGAAAATAATAGAAAAAGAAGAAAGAAAAATCAGTTACGAGATCTAACATCGAGAAAAGAAACGAAGAGGAAAAAGAAGAAGAAAGTTCAGAGAAAAAAAGATTTAGAAACACAGAACGATAGGAAATCTTGCAGAATAAATCAAATTAATGATGAAATAAGCGTGCATCGACCATTCACTCATGACATTTGTTCATTATCCTACTCATTGCGATTTTTCCACCCTCAATCCAAGCAGAAGTTGATTCTCTTTGATGGTATGCATTTGTTTTTCTTTTGAATCTGAAGACATCTCTGCTCTTTCAGTGTGCACTTATGTGTGTATACATCTACCTATCTTTTTTTCAGATAAAAGAAATAATGAGACGAGAGAAGCGCACAATATTGCCTGTCACTGTGGATATACTTTGTTACTCATTAGAATGTGTGAAAGTACCGATCTCGAGAATTTCAATTCAAATGATGTTTCTACTTTTCCTAATATCGAAGTTTGTTTTTCCTTCTGCGCACTAGGATTCTTTTCCAAAATCTCCTCATATATCAGACGATTCGTTTTCCATCGAAAGATGAATAGTTCGAATTCTTCTAATTATGATTGATTACAGCCATGATGAGAGAAGGGGGAAAAAAGGAATTTTTCCTCATTTCCTTTGTATATGAATACTACCGGATGTACATAGAAAGAGAAATAAAGAGTGTCATCTAGATTTCCCGTGATTTCGTGTTATTGTTATTTGTTTGCTTTTCTTTTTTGTCTTATAGTGTTTAATTTCTCGTATCGGAAGACGTCAATATCTATCCTATTATTATTAAAGTTTCTCTTCTCCAACTGAAAAAGCAGACACTCGTTGTATTCGTTCTCATGTGGCTAGTCATTACGTTTTGTATTGGATTTTTAATTTCAAACGTGTGCTTGGCAGCAGTCAACAAAGATTTCAATGAAAAATGTCATTTTCTAGGAGAAAAATGTCAAGATAACAGTGATTGTTGTTCAGATTTCATTTGTCGCTCGAATCAAGGTAGATACCTGACTCGATGTTGTAGTCGAATGAAAAAAAGCATTAATAATCGATTCTTTTTCTTTTTAATCAACCCTAGCAGGCAATATTTGTTCATCATCAAGACCTCACCAACGTTCGAAACGTAATATAGACGACTCGATCATTCCGCCATATTACAATCCAAAGAATCAACTATATCCCTACGGAATTAGTAAACCCACATTACCATTTTATAAGGGGCTAGGTCTGAAGGCAACTGATGAAAGCAAGAAGATGGGTAAGGAAAATCGATTTGTGAATTGGTTTGATAGTGTTTTTATTCAGAATGGGATCATTGTCAATTTCATGAAGAGTGCGGCGAGGGCAATTGTTGTTACGTTCATTTTCGATTTCGTAGTTTACCCAAATGGTTCTGTCGACCGAATCGAAATGAATTAACCGGCTTGTGTGAACCTTTAACGAAATATCGTTCACTTAAGGATGTACCAGCATGGAAACAACTACAAGAACAGGAACAGCAAGAGCAAGAACAATGAATATCGTTAAATCCAAGTGCGCACATCATGACGTTGAACAAAGAGACAAATAAAAAAAGACGAGAAAATTCTCCAATAAAAAAATGACTACAAATTCGATCATGTCTATTTCCTATACATATATACATATATATATTCATCATTTTTCTTTCTTATTATATTATGATTAATATGACAAGAGCAACAAATCAAAATCGCGAAAATATGAAATGAAAGTGGCTATTTATTTGTCCTATGGAGTAATGAGAAAAATAGATGGGACATTAGCTTTCGAAAAGAAGAAAGAGAATAGATACTGCTTCGATGTTTATATATGTATCATGTCCTTTTCATGTCACCACCAATGGCAAAGGAGAGTTTACGGATGGGCGATTAGTGTCTAAATGATCGATCGATGAATGGTAAAATGAGCATGTTCAAAAAGAAATGTGGACATACACGTTCACTCGCTTGCTCAGTGTAAAAGTAAGTCAAGCACGACGAACGCGTGAAATACAGTAAGAGAATAAAAGAAAAAGTTTATATAGTGATCGTGACCGATGGGAATTGTGTTGCGCATCACTAGTCACAACAAAATACGACGAAATAAAGAGTCTTCTTTTTTTCTCGGTGACCATCCGTATCTCTCTCTCTCTCTCTTTCTTCTCCTCACCCTCGAACGTGTGACACAGAGGCATATCAATATACACATAGACTCGGGTTAATTTGATCAACAACTAAAATAAAACAGAAGAGAGCGAACATTTCGAACTATGGCAGATAGCGTAAGTGCATCCTATCCACAATCGACATCACCTGGAAATCCAGATCAACAATATGTCCAACACCAGTATGCTTATCAAGCACAAGCACCAAGCCCAGGCGGACATCAATATTACAGCGCAGCAAGCGGTGTTGAACAACAACAAGTAGTTCAAGATAATGGTGATCAACAAAACAGCGTTCATCAGGGTCAAGATGTTAACTATTCACAATACACACGTAGCGGAGCTGAACTTGCTAATGACCAACAAGTCAGTAGTGGTAGTTTTGCTGAACAAAGTAATGCTGGTATTGTCCAACAATACGCCGGTGCTGCTGGTCAACTTGCTCAACAACAAGGACAAAATGGATATAAAATCAACTTTGATCCCAATCCACAAATTATCCGTAAACATGCTAATGATGCGGTTACCTACAAACAAGAAGTTGCTGTACGATATTTACGTCCACCAACACCACCACCACCGGGTCCTTTGATTATTAAAGAGGTACGGTTGTCATATGTTCCATTATGGTGACAAATCTTATGGTTTTCTTCTTTTCTTTCAGGTTCGCAACCCTGCCTTGCCACCAGCTCCACCTATTGTCATTCGTCAACGGCCACCTCGACCAGCAACACCACCACCACTCATTATTCGAGAACGACCACCTCAGCCGCCGGCACAACTCGCGCCAAAATTGATTACTAAGCCATTGCCACCACCTCCACCTCCACCAAGACGCGTCATCATTGAGCGAATGCCACCACTACCACCTAAGCCTCAAAGGTTTGTGACAACTAGTTTTCTTCGCCAATCAAAAGCATTCTTTTTCCTATGTTTAGCATTATTGTTGAACGTTGGCTTCCGTATAAACAACAAAAACGACGTGTCATCTACCAAAAAGCACCGCCTGTTCAACCACCAGCACCGCAAAAAAATCTTATTATTCAATGGGAAGGTACACAAGCACGTGTCGTCAAAGAATTCCGCAATTTAGGCATCATTAAAGCCGATCCTAATACATACATCCAACAATACGGACCACAGCTACGACCGACACAAGGTTTACCAGATTTCGTCAAGGGATTACCAACTCCTAATCTCGGTCCCGAATATGTATGAAAAGATATTTTGGAAATAGCAAACGCAAACTTTGCCTTTGAACTTTCTAGACAGCTGGTGCTAATCCTGATCAAGTTGATCCAGCATTACTGGCCGGTGCTGCTGGTCCAATAGGTGGCTATGAAGCGGTTGGTGAACAAGGTCTTCTCTCTAGTGCATCTAACGGTTCATTATCGGGTGCCAATCAAGCTAGTTTTCTTCAAGAAAACGTTCAATATGCAACATATGGCGGTGCCGGAAACGGTGCTGGTCAAGTTCCTGGTGAACAAGGCGGATATATTTATCAGCAAAGTGCATACTCCAACGGAAGCACCGTTGAAGGACAACAATATGCCGGTATTTTGTAGCTCGATTTGTCTCTTTCTCTATATGTCGTCATTCTTCTCTTCTCCTAGATCAGCAACAAGGTTTCGAACAACAAGGTCAACAAGGTAATGGTTTCGTACAAAATGTACAATATCAAACAATGCCTCAGTATGGTGTCAATGGTTAATTGGAGTAAAACAAAAAGCGAGAAACTGAACACGTATCATTAAAAAAATGATCAAAAACGAATTGTTTTCTTCTTCTTCGTCTTTTTTTTTATCTGGAAAACTATTTCATCTCACTCCAATGTCTTTCTTTCACTTTCAAACGTTTTCATTTTCTTTTTGAAACCTCACTTTCGTTTCGTTCGTTGTCCTCCTGTGTTTCATTTTCATTTCTTTCTTTTTTTTTCTATTATTGCGATCGACAAGCGATGGCCTATCTATTTGTTCCCACAATGCAAAGCATTTCGTGATATACAATTTGTTTATACATCATCGTAGATCAATTCCAATAATAAAATCTTGTCTAGTGAATTTGAAAAGAATCAATTCAAATCATTCTCTT